GGATGTAAAAGCAAGTTGCAGCTCCGATCCATATCACATGTAAACCACACACATGTATAAATCCAAACAGGGTAAAAATTCAGCATGAGGCAATTCTGATAGTGTTGTGACTCCTGCCTGAATTAATCCATTCTGACTTACCTGTCAGAAAGTCAGATAAGTCAACCTGTCAGCCCAGCAGCCTGACTGGTGGGAGAGCAGGAGCGGGTTTCGCTTTTCCATCAGTTTTCTCGTAGTTTGCAGAGAAGATTTGTGTGTTCATGCGTTGTTGTGTAAGCAGTGTGTAACAGCAGGGTTTATTCTGTCTGCGTGTGCATTGGCGTGCTCTGACAGGTCAATCAATGAGGAGATGCAGTCTGCTGTTGGTTCATTGAACTGCTGTGGTAAAAGGAGAGCAAGTAAGGGTCATCTCATCCCGTTCCTCATGCTGCTTTGACTGCTCGGATTGATTGCTAACCGATTTGTATTTCTATTTTTACGTTACCTCCGATTGGCCTGATAGACTTCATCATTGCAGATTTTTTTACAATGGAAATATTAATAATTACTTCAAGATGCAATGCCAGAAATAAAGGAAATGAAATGAAGCTCTTTGTGTTTTTCCTGTCCGCATTTCATCTCCCTTCTGCTTGGAAATACTTCATTATTTCACCTTGGAAGATGGCTCTGTCAGGCGCAGCTGACAAATGAACAGCCTCAGTTGTGTTGATCATTTTAGCTTACATTTTTTTCAGCGCTGGCACTAAACCTAATTTGAAACACAACATTCAATCATCAACGTATAAAGGGATGTGAGGCGAGGCACATCATCATTTCTAATTCTCTTTGATTCTAATTCTTAGTCTGTTGAATTGTTTCCAGTAGTTTTCCATGCAAATAACATGCAAAGTTTTTTTTTTCTTCCTTCAAAATTACATTAAAGGCTTTGTAAAAAGACTTTACTGTCATTTACGTGAAAATATGCACATTAAGGAATATCACTGTCCTAATGTTTAGTGTAAATTATATAGCTTTCTTATCTGCACAAACAATCAAGAGTGACAATTTATTGTCGTGGAAAAAATGCGTAAGAGAAAAACTTTTCAGTGTACTATTTAAGACAAAAAAATAAAGGTCTTTTCACAGCACATTAGCACTTTAAAAACAAGATGAGTGCGAGGAAAGGCGACGTGTGCAGGAATCAGCGGGTGACAAAGAAAAGACAAGAGGCAGTGTTCTTACAAGGAGGGGAAATTTTATTTATAACACATGGTGCTGACAGGGAATCTCCAGCTCAGCGTCTATATTACAAGGTTGATCTGCAAGGCTGCGCATGTACTGTACGGTATTTGGAAACCAAGATTGCAGTGGCACTATAAACACACGCTTGAAACAACAGACTCGTTCCCTTTTGGTTTTTTTTTGGTTGTTGTTTTTTTTCTTCATTTTTTTTTTACAAAATGGTACAAACAACAATACAAAATATTTGTGCTGTTGACAATTTACAAAAGAAGTCTTTTGACTCAATAACTGTGCAATTTTTTTTTAAAGTTTTTTTCTTTAATCTCCTCCATTTGAAACAATGTGACTATGGTACACCAGAATGCCTTCTGGACTGCAGCGCCTGTCATGCGGGCTGCAACACTTTTTGAAATGTAGTATGGTTACTGTAATAGAACTCATCTGTCCATTATAAAAAAGACACATGCAAAAAGCTCCAATTGTACAGTTACAGTTTGGCTAACTTTGTCTCTTTAGCTTCAAGCAAATACTACATTATGTACACTTGGACTTGAATAGCATTAGGATAACTCTTATGAAACACTGCTTCTCATCTTTGTGTTTCTAGTAGTTTGGCTTCTGTCGGAGCGTCCCGTCACGCATGTGTCCATGGTCAGGCAGTGTCCAGAGTGAGATTAAATGTCCCTTAACCAAAGCAGAAATCAGGGTCGGACTACAGCAGTGCAATACTTCTTTCTTCCTTCAATCTTGTTTGTTAATGTTTTCCCTCCATTTAATAGAGGGACAAGACAAGTGGACCAGGTAACAATTAATGGCCAAAGCTCCTTTATTTCCCCAAATAAACTGCATTTTATTGGGGAGCCAAGTCTGATGCAAACCACTGATATATTTGCTGCTGTGTAACTGTGAGTCATTAACATTCAGTATTGTAATGTCATTGCGTTATCTAAACAACGCGGTTCTAAAGGTCAGTTAGGTTGTCTAAAGTGGGGCCTCGTGTTTCGTCTGGCCCTGAATCTGGTCTGAATGTCCAATAAGAAAGTACGAGTAGTCTGTGAAGCATGTCTTTATTCTACGAACACTGGATGGTCATCAGCAAAGTCGCAGCTTTACTGCTGGATTAAAACAACGCTGAACGGGCTCATATATTATAGAACACTCACATATATACAGTAAGGCCTAGAGGAGTGAGTGTGTGCTAGTATAGACTGTACAAGTTGGTTTTAAGTGGAGCCTTTTTGCTAAAAATGAAGCAAAAGTTGAACAGCGACACGAGTATGGCTGTAAGCTCTTACAGAATCCTACAGATTCTTTTAAATGCACATGGCTTTTTGTGAAATATAGTTTGCCAGGTATTTGTTTTAAACAAAACTACGGTGAAAGGAAATGCAAAGACTGCACGGAAACAGGTAAATCATGTCATCAAGTGTATAAAAATGTTCCGTATATACAACACTTATGTCAGAAATAATCACAAATAGCAGAAAGTAACAGCTGTGTTTATTTTGTGTAGATATTCTGGAGGCTGAGGAGCAGTCGGATAGATAAGAGCTTATCCAGCTGTAAGCTGGGGGAACCACTCTGTTTCTCATGTCTGAGCTGAGAGCTGCGCTGAACATCGCCACTTTCTGGCTTTACAATGCAAGGTTTGACCTACAACTACCTAATTTTAAGAGATTGTTACCCTGTTCGCCTTATTAATTACACTTATAGATGCTGCTTTCCCTGTTCATAGTTGAAAATGAACGTTTTAACTTCTGTTCAGTTTGCATAAAAAATACATTTATCTCATCACAAGTCAACTTTCATACATCCATTCTGAGAGCATACTTACTTTTTCCATGTCATCACTTTTCACGTTTATACTTATACTGTATATTTAATCTGTTTAAACCGACCAGGTGAAGAACTGAAAAGCAGCAGCAAGAAGGGGGAAAAAAAGAGTAAGAGTCCCGGATCCTTCTTGTCATATCATGTGAATGTGACTGTTACTGATATTTCCACGAAGCAGTCATTATAATCATTATTTATAGACGATCTGGTCAGTTCACATGGAGCTCAAACGAGCCACCACTGAGAAGCGTTTTAATTTGCACTTGGAAGATAAGGAAAGATTAAACCTTTCCATCTGTAGCCAGCGTCTGGTCCCTCTGTGAAATGTTTTGGGTATTTAAATAACATAAAAAGCTCCCCCCCCCCCCCCCCCCCCCAGTTCTCTTTACACTGCCCTGAAATATGATTACAAAAACCCACGGGTAGCGCTGCTTTTTCATTAAGTCACAACAAAAACTGCCTTTCAAAATGTCTGTCTCATAGAAAAACGTTATTACTGAAGCTTTAGTTTAGCTTTTTCTGCTTTGATAAAGTGCAGAATTTCTTATACTTTCCCTTCTACTAACTTCTTTTTAAAAACCTCTTGAACTCAAAGCCAAAAATTTTAGGAGAAAATTTCAGATGAATGAAACGCTGCCTGAAAAGAGACAGATTGTGAAGGCACTAAGTCCCTGGCTGAGGCTCAATTCCCACAGTTTCTCTGACAGGGACCAGCACCAGAGTTTGTATATTAAAAGTTTGTTGAGAAACAACAGTGAGTCAACAGACGGATAATGAAAAAAAGGGAGACAGAGGGACTCAGAATGGGGCCTGGACAAGATAGCTGTTCTGTAAGTAATGCTATCAGAGCTATTTAAAGTTATCTGGTAGTTTCTTCATAAATGTACATTTAATATAGTTTCTGTGGCGCTTTTACTGCATGATAACTGGTGCCATGTTATTACCTTTAGACGCAAATATCTTGCATCTAAGTGACGAAACGGTTCTCCCACTGAAACGCTACGTCCAGATGAAAAGAATCAACCTTTTGGGATTTGGATGCACATAAACACGCAGACTTTAAGTTATCCTAAAGGCAGAATCATGTTAAATACCTTCATTTTCCCAAATAACCCTCACCTGTACATACATAGTTAAACATTACAGAGGTAACACGTGTGACTTGTCAATCTTCAAATTTAGTAACAAGCCGTATCGAGTTTTCGCTGCAAACGCAGGGGAGCTCAAAACAAACACAGCTGCTATTGAAGCCACGATAAACAAAGACACATAATGCATTTCTTCTCTAAGACAGTCCTGTTATGTATTTTTGTGATTTAATTCATCACATTCAAGTTGGCTGTGATCTAGGAGCACAGATATGCCTGACTTGAAAAATTAATGATTTGTCCATAAGTTACAGACACACTGTAGGCCTATGTACAGTACGTCTAGCATAAAGCGCCCTCGTTGGCCAGTCACCACTCCTCTGAAACCAGTACTGAGATCTCCCGCAGCTACCACAGCCCTGCACGACGGGAGAAATGACAAGGGAGGTGTGAATTAAAGGGTCAGGGGGTCATATGGGGGCGTGTAAGTCCAGAGAATGGCAACCAATCCTGAGTTAGCGGGAGTCAGCTAAAATACGCACCACTGAAGGCACTTTTTTAAACAACAGTGCTTCTGTTCTAAGTAATTCAAGTTCAAGAAAGAATAAACCGAGGCCCTTCGTGCAGGAAGGACTTTCATATCGATGTTCTTGTTCTCCTTTTCTTATCCTTTGTTTGCCTCAGACAAAGCAAGCAGCTCAACCTAAAGCTTCTTCAGAGAGTCGGGCGGGGGCTGACAGCGAGGGAAAAGCGATGACCCTCGGGAATAGGGAACAGCTTGAATCGAAGAGGGGTGAGGATATAAAAAAAATAAATACAAATAAAAGGCTACACAAACATAGGTAAAAAAATGGAACTTAAACCTAAATCTAGCATATAACATTCAAATGGAACAAAAGCACAACAGTTTGAAAATTAATGAGAAGTCTGAAAAATCAGAGCTTCCATTTCAGTCACAGACAGGCTTAGAGCAGGAGACGGTTGAGAAGAGCACCCGAAACTGACTCATGGCGCTGGTCCTCTGTGGTGGGCAATTTGATTGGTTGGTTGGTTGGTCAGTCCGTTGGTCAGTGTGAACATGTCCTTGTTATCTTGTGTTCAATAAGGATGTAATAGCCCCTTGTTTTAGGGGTCAGAGCATGGCAGGCCAGCTGACGGGACAAGGATGTGTGTTTGCGTGTGTGTGTATGTGTGTACGCGTGCGACTGGGCAAATTTAATCATCATCCCCTCCTCCGTACATGTCAGCCAGCTTCTTAAATCGGGGGCCCCAGTCATTGAGGTAGTCATAGTCCTGGTCTCCTGTGCTGGAGGAGTTGAGGGAGCTGACAGAGCCAGCGGTGGAGCCGCTACCCTCGTAGTCAAACACCAGCAAGGAGTCGTATGGAGGAGCCGTAGGATCGTTGTCTGCTGCTCTCAGTCCCTGAAGAAGACGGGAAAGCAGAGAAGTCAGCTGTTAAACTGTTGCACTACTTTATGTGATTTGTATGTTGAGCGATATTCCTCAAAGCCATTAAACTCAGCGTTGCATCAAACTGACATTTAATGTAAATCATGCCCTCATTTATAGCATATTTGTGTATATACTGTAGCATTGCATAATTAAATAATGTCAGCTTGTTCAAGGTGCTGTGAATCGTACCTGTTGTATACATGGGGGTCTTTAATGTACCCATACTTAACATTGTACAAAATCATCTTTATGTTTAAGTAAAACTATCAAACATTACAGAAATTGATGCATTCATTTAGTTTTTATACCTCTACATGTACATGTGAAGCTAACAGAAGAACCTGATTGCTGCAGGTTTTACCTAAAAGCAGCTGGGTAGCATTGTGGTAGTGTCACCTTTGAAGCAGCAGAACAGAGTTCCCAGACACTGTGCGGATAAACAGTCAGATGCTGGGAAACCCGAACATGAATGGATGGAGTTATCAGAAGCCAAGATGACAGACATACAGGAAAGCTCCACCAGAGGGCAAGAAAGCAGAAAAGCCATCAACATGTGTGCCCTCCCAATCATCAGAAATGTAGTACATAGGAGGCACGATCCAAGATGAAACACAACACAGAGGCTGTGATAATGGCAGCACAAGCACCAGATTCATACACAGGACCAAAGGTGCAGAGATGCCTCTGGCAAAGTCCTGCACATTAGTGCAAGCTCAGCCAGTTTAAAGGACCATCTTTGCTGCACACTGATTAGATACACTGAGGACGGCAGAGGTAATACCCTCCAAAGCTTAACTTGGTGAGGAACAACCGGATTCTAAATAACAAATCAGCAGAACAGAGTCAGAGGGAAGCTGTGATAGATATGGCAACCAAAGCTGAGAGTTAAGTCTTAGAGCATCCACAACATATATGCTAATAGACCAGTTTGACCTTTGTTTTGCATTGTTCTGTTTGGTTTAGGATCTTCTAAATCATAGTGCATAGAAAACCACAATAAAAATGTATTCTTAAAGATTATGCTCAGAAAAAAGGCACAAGAAGTGAAAAGATCTTAAAGAATTACTAGTTATTTTTAGAGGTATGTATCATAGCAAGCTAATTTAACAACAACAAAACAACCTTTACAGGATCCACAGAAAGCTTTTGGTAAATATCACTGGTTGTAGAAAGTATGCTGCATCCTAAAGGACTTATCTCACCCTGCTCATCAGCTGTTTGAATGTCTGCCCTCAGGCAAACGCACTAGCACTTGTTTTTTTCAAATCCCAGAACCACCATCTCACTGAACTCTGCTCTGAAATCACACACCATAAATCAGTAACAGACCAATTCAATCAGCACCTGCTGCAATACTATTTACTATCTACTATTTATACACAATCTTCTTAGACAAGTGCAGTATCTTTATAAAACTACTGTGGCCACTTTTGACTCTTTTAAAAATATCTGAACATCTGGAACTGTGTTTGTATCTTTTACATACCTAATAAGTTCAATTTCTAGGTAGTGTGCAGAGTTGTTGTGGTTTTTTTCTTCTTCTACATAGTGACGATATAGAAATTGCGAGTGTATATGGTTGGTGTGGAACTTTGCTTCTCAATAACAGGCCAAAAGTTACTGAGCCTCAGCCACAACATTATCAATATTAACAATGACAGGTGAACAAGCGAAGTTTCTCATGCCCTTACGTGTCATACTGTTTACACAGCACGATTGGCACCTACACAACCTCATTGTGTAGGTGCCAATGATTGATCCGTGAATACAAATACAAAACTCAGGAGCTCTTTGTTTCAATGTGCGATCATCCCTTTTCATCAATACTTTGACACAGTTTCATAAATAAGATATGACGGGGTCTTCATGTTATCTGGCAAGGCTCGATTCTTTGCTCGCTTCCAAGAATGATAAATTGGGGCCATCGACCTGAAGGTTAGCTAGGTGAAAAGAATGGACTTCATCCTTTTCAGTCACATAATGAGAGATACTATGGGTAGAAACCTAAAAAGCTTCAATCGGTCTGGGCACAGTGCATGGCAATATCACCATGTGTTTGCTGTGTTTGTGTTTAACCAGGCTGCTGAAGCGAGCTCAGGTGAGTGCATGTGTGAAAGAGAGAGAGTGAGAGAGAGTCAAGGCTGGATGGATCAAAGCTGAACAGCTGCCAACACCTCTCGAGTGTGAACGTGTTGTCACAAGTCTGTCAATCAGCATTTTCTCGCATCAGTGTTCCAACGCTGGAGTTGTGTGAGTGGACAGTGCTCATTTGTACGTGTGTGTGCGTAAATTAACCCGGCACGGTGAGAGGAGCTGTAACATAAAGCAAAACCTGTCGTTCCCATCACCCTGGTAGAGTTCTACGTTTTGAACAACATTCAGAATAAGTAATCACGTTAGGTGTCAGATTGACGGAAAGTAAAAGTGAGTGGTCCATCTTATAGCGGGAACAAACAATCTAGTAACAGTGGAGCCATTGTGCATGCAAAAGATAATGTGTGCTTATAAATCTACCTCATGGATGAAGTCTCCGATGTCTCCGGGGTGGGGAACAACAGGTCTGATCGGATACTGGGACTCTGGGATGATCGGACGCTCATCCACCCGGCGGACACCAGGCGGCTTGCTGATGATGTGCTCCAAGGAGTCGGGCTGCTGCAGCTGGCTTAAGTCATAGTCCTGCAGAGAAATCTAAGTAAGGTACAGTCTGAAACAGAACGCGTATTTGTGTATTTGAGCAAGTGCGTCTCTCAGGATCTCACCTGGTCCTCTTCTCCTCCTCCCTCTTCATCATACTTGAGGATGTTGTCCCTGACATCATCTTCAGGGTCAATGAGCAGTTGCTTTGTCTGCCTCTCCTTCTCTCTGCGCTTGATCCACACCACAAACAACAGCACCATGCCTGCAATGATACACACATGAATGTGAAAAAACCCTATGGTATGTTGCAACAACCTCTAAAAAACAAACTAAAAGCAGACAATCAGATAAGTACGTAGTAAGGTTGCATATAAGCACAGAGTGCAGATGCTAAACATGTATAGCGTTTAATACGTTTAGCACGTTTGTGTCGGACTTGGCAACATTTAATTAAATGTCGGTTTTACTAATGCATCCTGAGGAAGCTGTTCGCCATTCGTCCTGAGGGATAAAAGACCGTCAAGAATAAACAACCTAAGTTTATGTTAACATGACAAACTGCAAAGTACAATGACATAGCTATGCCAACACAAAACCACTTAGGGAGCCGGTTGGTGGATGAATGGGCCCAGCAGGCAGATGGCTGCTACTCATAATTTATTTCCTCCAAACAGTCCCTTTAACCACAGCCACTATGACCTTTCCCTACTTAATCATACGGTTAACGTTTCAGTAATATGAATCATGACGAACAATTTTTCTTTGTTATTGCGTTTCATTTTTTATCCTTAAGTTTTTATTATCTTTGTAGTCTTATCTATCTATTTATATATTTATGGTTATTTCTGTGTGATCTTGTGCTTGTATATGTCATCACTGCAAAAGCTTGGTGTGCTGTACTTGAGTAAATAACAAGAAAACAGATTCAATTAGAATTCTGGGTTAATAGGAGTTATAAGATAATAGAAGATTCTAAATAATCGAAACTTTTAAAACATTTGAAATGATCTATTGGGATTGCCATACACAGTGTGAACACAGCAGCAACAAAGTAAGGCAAGACTGATAGTAGCATTTTTTCTCTACCAGGAAAAAAAAACACAAAAACATCTCATCCAGAGATGCTGGAGAAGATTCAAGCACTCCAGGCATTTATCTATTATACAAACTGGTGCTGATGTTATTGTATTGTTAAATATTTTATGTCTGTGCCATGTACTACACTTTTTTGAGGAATCTAATCACAGACAACTTTTCTACAGCAAATGTGTGGGTACGTGATATGTTTGAGAGCATCGCTGAATGAATAGCAAAAACTCACTGAGTAGTATGATAATGCAGATGAGGATGGAGATGATGGCTCCAGTTCCAAGGCCAGCAGCTGCCACGGCCCCGAGGGTGGTGCAATCTCCGTTTTCATCGCAGGGACACACCTTAACTTTGATGACTGACCTGTTGGACAATGGAGGGTTCCCGGAGTCTGACACGATTACAGGGACTTCATACACTCCAGGCTCTAAATATATTTGATACCGCAGACTCAAACGGGCAAAATCACCTGTAAAGGGAAAAGAGACATTACTAACAATCACATTTCATTTTTCAAAAGGATTATTTTTTTCCTGGGTTACAAATAGTTTAAATAACCGTATCCTCAAAAGTTGATTCTGCTCATCTGGATGTAGAGTTCTCCCACTGAAAACGTTACATCAAGATGAACAGAATCAACTTTTGGGGATTTACTTACCTGGATAATTGAGCATGCATCAAGACATAAAATAACTGTAATTTACATGTTTTATCTACATTTAATAACAGATATTTGTAAAAAAAAATAAATAAATACTGCAGCCATTTAGTGAAACTTGCAAACAAAAATATAGCGTAAAAGGCAAAAAGACAAAATTCAAATGAGCATATGAATAGCAAATATTTGGTACGAACACCTTTATTCTGCAACACAGTCTGAACACTTAGGCAAGCTGTCTTGTAATTTCTTTAAGTAGTCTTCAGAAACAGTTCTGCAGACTTTCTGAAGGACACTGAAAGCTCTTCTTTATATGTTGACTATCTTTTGTTCTGTTTTCTGTCAAGATGATCCAACACTGCTTCAATAATGTTCAGGTCTGCGCTCTGGGGAGGCCATTGTGTATTTCCTTTATCCAGATATCTTTTTACTGCATTGGCAGTGTGTTTGAGATCACTGTCATGCTGAAAAATGAAGCTGTTGCCAATCAGATGCTTTTCATTCCATAAGAACCATTGCTACTAATTTTAGTCCAATTTTTGAGTAATTCTTGGCAGCCACCCTTCTACTGAAACCATTTCTGACGAGGCTTCAATCAAAGATGAATCAACCAAAAGGCTAGATGCATCTCTCAGGTCCTGTGTCAGGTCTTTGCTAGATCTTTTCCTATTTCTTAAGGACATGACCTATCACTTTTTCTTTTGCCGTCCTTTTGTTCAGTTTCTTCAAATTTTCTAAGGACACACTGCACAGCACGCTGGTACATGCCAAGTTTTTTGTTAAAATCTCTTTGAGAATCACCTCGTTGGTAGAAAATTACTATGTTATCCCTGTCATACTGTGCTATGTGACATTTTTCATTGGTTCAACTAAAGAAATTTGAACAAATTATATGTTTGTGTGACAGGGTGCTAGTAAAAAAGTACTTAACGATGTAATAAGTATGGCTCCTTGAAAGCAAAATAAAAAGAAATGGTAAGCTACTCAAGACTTTTTCACAGTAATGTACATGAACATGCACATGGTTAATAAACGCGTAAGGAGATTTTTGATGCATTGTCAGAAAAGTAAAAACGAAAACGTTTTTTGAATTTTTAAAATTTGATCATTTCTCTTCAGTGGTAACACCTTACCGCTGATCCTAGAAATTGTCCAGTTACGTCGGATGGTGGTGGGAAACGTGGGCAACTCGAAGACAAAAGGTCCAGCGTTGGGGTCTGTGTCGGCATCAGCGGCAGTGATGTTGACACCGTTGATGCTCCTGTACGTCCTTTCACAGATCTGAGACTCTTTGGGTATGAGTGCTGGGGGGTTGTCATTAATATCTATCAGATAGATCTGCAGTGTGCCTGTGCCGCTGGCTGCAGGAGAGCCTTAGAGCAGAAAGAGAGAAGCAAAAAAAATAATATCACGACAGGAGGAAAACATGACAAGAGAAGATGTGTGCAGTGAAAGGGACAATTGAAGGGGAAGAGAGAGATGTCGAAGGCTGGCAGAAGTGAGAGAAATAATGAAAGAAGACGAAAAAGAGAGATACAAAAAAGGAACGAGAAGAGGTGATTGGAGCATTGTTCATTCACAATGACGATGAAAAGGTAGGAATACTGTGAAGCTGCAGGAGAATTTCTACACTTGACAGAAACACTTCTGACAGTTATGCTTTCCAGTTCTTCTTTTAGTCTTACAGCAAAATCAAACCCATCACAGTCGATCCAGATGGTGGCACAGCGCATCCAATCTTCTGGAGCGAGTCTAGGTACAATAATGATGACTGTAACACAACTAAACAAGTCTTTGTCTATGTGTATTACACTGTTATATGATAGTCGTTTACCATTTTGGACATAAAGGCACTTTTATTTGAAATATTAACAGTACATTGCTTTAAAACAACTAATGGGACATTGTCAATGCACATTGACAGTCCTTCACTGTCACACAGACAATCAGTTGAATACTTGAAATTAAACACAGTATACACGTGTGTTTATGTATTAAAAGTAAATCTCCATAGAACGTATGCAGGGAACATTTAGAATGTAAAATAAAGGTGTTGTTGCAAACTGAAAGCAGTGTTGCATCATTTTTAAAGTGAGATCAAGTTGTACTAAGAATCTAGGTGATTTTTTTTTCTGTGTTGAACTCTCAATGACTGCACTAGACTGGCTCATTTACCATTTTTAGGTAGTAATCACATTATACATATAAATCCGCAGCTATTGCCTATTAGCAAGGTGACAAAATTGTGACATTAAACGCTCTAAACTTTACACCAATGTTGTTCTGACTCAGCTTTGTAAATCTGTGGAAATTGTCGAGGCAACTTGGTCTGATACTGATGTAGGCATGCCATTGTAAGTGCTGCTTTAACTACAATAGTGTCAGCCTTGGAGTGCAATAACATGCACTGGTGCACACAGACACACTCACACTTCGTCTACGGGCACAATCTAGAAGCTTCTGCATTGACCGAACACAGCAACAGACCATCAGCAACTGCATTATGGAGAACTAGGAATAAGAAATAGACACTTTAAACAATCAGGGAGGGAGATAGCTGAGCAAAGTGATGAATGCATGAATGCGTATGTGCAGCAGGAAAATGTGGCAGAGAAACATCTTAAAAAAGGGTGCTTAGCGGTATAAAGCTCAGCGTTGTTTATTGAGTGTGTGTCAGTGGGTGACAGCCCTTAGCTTTCCCCAATTAGGAGTCATTTCCCTGTCATGCCCCACTGGCCCAGTCATCACATGGAATCAAGCGACCCCAGGGCTCATCTCTGGCATGAGATAAGGGCAATGCAATTTACAAAGATTTATGCAAAGCTTACAGATCTGCCAATTAAATGTGGCAACAGAGCAAGACGTTTGCCACAAGAAGGGTGAGACACAGCTGAAGACAAGGGTCTGGAGTGAGTCTGTTATCAGTTCGAGCTCTGTTTCACTGGTAACACTATGGTTTTTCGATTGCTTCATTAATATCAAGTGATTAATAAAGACATCAAGACGTCACTGATGAATATAATACGTTTTAGTATCTAGAGACATTGGATGAGTGACCTAAAATTTTTGCCATAACTGGACAACAGGCGTAAAAGTGGAAACAATATAGATGCTCAGCTCACACACAGTTTTGTGGGAAGTGCCTTAAACATGCATTCTATCTGAAGGCCACTATAAACACATTCCTACTGAGTTTAAGGGCTCTGTTGCTAATTTTGGGTAACGATGACTAAAAAACAAGTGTATTTTGTACATCTTGGTGATGCAATGGAGTATGAAATGACACGCTGACTTGCCAAGCACGAGACATTAGCCAATGAGCTTTTTATAGCCAGTTCTGTCCTTCATTGCCACATCAGTTTTTTTGCAACTAAGATGGACCGACACTAAGTAAACATTTTTATTATTAGTGTCTTTTTCATGCTATAAGCATCCAGACAGTAATTATGCATCTCTTCGTATTAACTGTTGTGTGTATTTCCAGTTTTTTTGTACTTTAAAAGCCAGTCTAGGGACAGGCATTGCAAATTAGCATAGGCCCTGTGTGTGGCATGGTTCATGTTACATACTTGTCCCTATACAAATACACAGTTAATGCAGACTGTTAAATGCAATTTGTACATGTGTAGATGCTCTACCAGGAATACATGTGGTTCATGAATGCAGTACTGCAAACGCAGGCTTTCAAATGCACACACACACATACACGCGCGCGCACACACACACACACACACACACACACACAGAGGCTTACCAGTTCTGCTGGTTTGTTAATCCTAGCCATGTATGGGGGACATGTGGAAGCAGCTTGCCACAGCTGATAGGAGAATTATGTGGGTTTTAACCAGCTAAATAAATAATTATGTTTGTGTAAATTCCTCAAAAGGATTTGTATTAACTCCTTTTTTTGATGGGGGATGAGAGATGCGAGGCATGGTGAAAAGACTCGTAGTAAGCCTACCATATGCTCTTTGAATAACGCATAAAAATAAACAATACCATAGGTGTGTTAAGTGGAAAATGAGCCAAAGGGTTCTGAAATGGTCAGATTTCATCGAGGGGGTGTAATAAGTGTACTTCTCACCATGCTGTCACCACCTCTTCATGTCCCATTCTACTATCCTTACTGTCTCATAGTACTTCTTACCATAATCCCTCTTATGTTGTGACGGCTGGCACTCAGGCAAGACCCACATAGACACACAAACATGCACATGAAAAAAACCCTTCTGGTTTCTTTTGTTCTTGGCCACAGTCCCAATATCAGGCAGACCTATTAGAAGCATGCCTGTCGAAACGGTGTACTTTACAAAGGTGAGGTGAGCAAAAAACCCCAAATAATAGGAAACAGGTAACATATCGTGATTATAAAGAAGGTTTGGAATTAAAAAGCAGAAAAAAAAACAGGAAAGTCCAAACAACAGGAGCATGTAAACCTATAATCCTGCTGCGTCTCCATGCATCAACACAGCAGGTTACATTTTTTGCTGTTTGACATTGTCAGTCATCACAAATACATGTACACACACATGTGCACGTACTCGCCAAATTTCGTTTCAAACGAGTGGCTTCACACATGCTAACACCTATAAACACACCAATGTTTCAAAGCCAGCTCAACTTAAGATAAATGCACCAGTGCGCTGCACGTCACTGATAAGGCAATTTGGAAGGAAAATAGCATTTCCCGTTTTACTTAAGAAAACAAGAAACATTCACTTCCACTTGAGAAAAAGTTATTTGTTTGCTGTGATTGGGTTTGTGCTCTGTAATGCTTGAGTTTCAACTTTGAGGCAGAACAAATAATGTATGCTACATAAATTGCACAAAGCCCAAGGAGGAAGCCGGCTTGGACACAAGATAGGAGAGGCTCAACAGTTTAACCAGTTGTGCAAATCCTGGATTTTCACTGACTCTAACCCAGCTACATGCCTTTATAGTCTTCTAAATCCACATGCAAGTCGAAGTTTTAATCAGCTGATATACTCAATATACAAAACACTAGCTTGTGTCTCAGAGTTCAATTACACTGTACAACTCTTGGCTCTGGATTACATCAAATGCATATAAAACAAATGGTAGCAAAGCACCTTCAAGAATACTGATTTTACGCTGAGGTGTATGTTATACTGTAGAAAGTCCCAGTTCTGTCATCATATGCCTAAACTATTGGACATCGGAGTCTTTAAAGAATGAAAACTTGATAAAAAAATGTGGTAAAAGTGTTAAGCAAATATGTAAGAAACAGCAAACTCTGATTTTAAATGAAAAATAGCAAACGTCACTAATGCAGCAGCTTAAAAGAGTTTCTTACCATTGTCTGTTGCCAAAAATGTGGCTTCATATATGTTGTTTTTTACATAGACAGACTCCCGGTCGAGCATTGCTGTGGTTACTATCTGACCGTTGCTTCTATTGATGGACAGCCAGTCTGCTGGGTCGTTCAGCTTTGAATACCTAAAGACACACAAAGACAGATCGATGGAGACGTTAGCGTTTCCCTGTTTACAAGCAATTAGAAATTTTCTCTTGCATCTGTGCATACCTAAATTGCCTCCCCACACACACGGTCTAAAAATCACAACAGCTTGACCTTCACACAGTTTAATTCTTCAACGACTTCTTCTCCAGAGCGTGCAGCCTACAGTCAATTTCACCTCATTTTTTTCCCACTCCTGTGTACCAGCCATTGAAGTCAATTACCTCCCTAGTTAAGCACTGACGCAACTACCTGTGTGTGTGTGTGTGTGTATGTGTGTGTTTTACACACCCATTTTCTGAACGTATTGCTTAAGCTTACACGGAAAGGTTTATATGCATATATGTCTCGATGCTTGCATGTTTGCAAATGTGCCTGTGTGTGTATATAGGGAATGTGTATAGTGTGGAGATGGGAACATGGGATCTTGGTACTGACAGGAAAGTGGATGTGGTAGCAGGTGGCAGCAGTCCTCTGGGATAAAGCAGCAGAGAAGGAACAGGGGATCATCTCCAGGACCGAATGCCAATCTCACTCTAATCTCGCCGTTCTTGTTTTGCTGGCTTTTGTTTCCTTTGGCTTGTTTCACACATTCATTTTTATCTAAGCTCTCTCTACTCATGTCGCCTCACCTTAACTTGAGGTGCTTTTGTGTTCATTCATTTTCGTAGCCCCGTCTGTATCTTCTCATCTGTGTCTCATTTATTCTCCGATTCCGAGTTCATCAACAGAAACCGCTCTTGGTTCACGCGTACACTATGAGACATCATCTGTAGACATGTGACACCTTGGCCTTGTGCACCTATGTTTCTACACCAATTTCATTTCATTTACTGAATGTGAGCCGGGGTGAAAAAGCCAACTTGTTATGTGACATATACTTCCAGGCTTTCAATCTATTCAAAATGAAATGGATTTGACCTTAACCCCACTTTTATGTTTACTGAAATGTACTTTACTCAGCATTAGCGTACAGCTCACTTATTTATTTGTGCTTGATTAAATACTGCATAGCATTTCTACTTACATGCAGGAGACTGAAAGCCTGAAGGGATGGGTGGCAATAAGTAGGGGGGTGAGGGGTGGACAGAGACTATAATCTCTATCCTGTAGTGATTGAGGTGGGATTTTCCCAGCAGGCAGTGGGCATGATCCGAGGCAGAGCACAGTGCGGGGAAGGGAATCACAGAGATGACATTCCCACACTCTAGACAGATTCACACAGGCAAGCCAAGCCCACAGCCGCTAACAGGCAGACAGTGAAATCACCACCAGGACTACAGTGAGTCCATCACAGTGGGAGGGTGGGATAAAAGAGGGAGGAAAATGAGCAGGAATGTGTAGGAGAGGTGACATTCGGAAGTAGCAGCATGGCTGTATGATCTAATTTTAATGTCCTCATTAAGACCGACTTGATACCTACTGCTGTTCTGTGTCCAAATGCATTTCTATTGGCTTGACCATGCCAAACTGACAAATGCTCTCTGTCTGTGGAGTGGAGGGCAGACAAATGGGTGTACATTTTAATGAGAAGATAAAAAGTTTTTCCAAATGCTAGAAACATCATGTTTGAAAAATAAAAACATATTTCTGAGCCTATTAAACAAACAGTTTTTGATCTGGGGAAATATTTTTCTTGATACCCTTTCATATCTGTCAATATGAAGATGAATTAAGCCAAATTTTTTCCCCTCCCTTCTGTCTCTGCGTTCTACTTTGCTTTCCTGGGCGTGGCTTTCATCCTGATCTATGGCTGGCACACCCTTGTCTCATCAGCTCACCTAACCAACTGCTTCTCCAACCACTCTCCGCCAGATTGTTCTGTCAGCTTCAGCAGTAAACTAACGCTGGGCCAACTCTGATTTATTTCCTTGTATATTTCTCTCTCATGTTAACCAAGTTCTGTCTCTGCGCCTCAGATCTTCCTAATGTGCAAGCCAGCAACCAGTCAGCTACCTGCCAGCCATGCTGTCACTTCTTCTGCCACACTCACCTGTCAGCCCACTCTCCACTGTCCTTCCCAGCTCTTCACCTCCCAGCTTTGCCTCCTGTCTGCCTTGGAGCCAAGCCTCATCACACAAACTCTTTTTTTTATAGTAGTTTTATAGTTTAAAATGTCTGCTAATGGGAATCTCTTAAGGTCACTAATTAACTATACACATTTTTTTATCTGTACAAACATCAGCGTTTTAAGCCCTGGAGTTTCTGCTATTTCTCTGGCAAACTATCAGTCAAAAAACATAAAACCAGAAATATAATTTGCTGTTTTTACACTTCACTTTGTGTACAAAAAGATTTGGCATGTTAAGAGACTTGTTAATTATTTAACCTTAATTTTAGGTGGTGCACAGACATGATAGTGGTGTCAATCTTTTTATCCAAAATTCAGCAGAAAAGATTAGAAATACGCAAATAATTTCTTTTTAATATGCCTGACAAATGAGCAGTCACGAATGAACTTTACTCAGAAATCTCAGAGGTCAGTGCCTCAACATTTGGGCAAATAAAATCAATGTTTTCAGCACAGCTCAATGCCAAAGCAAGAATTTTTGTTTTTCACTTGGATAACAGACCCTTTAAAATCAGGGACAGAGAAGGATTCAAATATGGAGCGCATAAATAGGTGTGTATAAGACATTTTCTTCTTTTTTGCCCTGCAAAATGACTGCAGCACCTATTTGTCCCCGGGTACGTTCCACGATAACACGAGCGCATGTACGCTCTCTGATGATAAACGCCGTAACACAAAGGTTTGTTCACAAAGCAGAGTGCTCTATTCATCCCCACACTTCAATTAACTCTCTCCAACTCCAGTCACCGCAGACGAATTAAACCATATTTAACGCACAAAAAAACCTCTGTATAAACAGTCTTTAAGGGGAAATTTCCAACACAATGACTCGACGTTTTGGTGGAATCATTAGCCGTGTTTTTGTATTTCAACAAAAAGTTAAGTGGAGAATATGGCTGGCTTCAAAATGTTGTTTTAACTTGCTGTAGTGCTGCCTATAGTAAACAACAGTGCTCTGGTCATCAGAGTGACGCCAACGAGAGCACCCACAGTGGTTTTGTTTACAAGTCCCAACTGTAAACGACGTAACCGTGGGCAACTGGCTGTCACCGTCGCTAACTTTTTAATGAAGTGCTTTCCAATATTTTTTGTCTTCTTGTAAAAGTAAACAGTTTCCTCCAGTACGCTTCTGGAATATGAAATTTGGTTTCAATGTTATTCTGTGTGTGAAAGTTTTCCTATTCGTTCCCGCGCCTTATTTCCAATGCTTTCCGAAGCTCTCCTCTACCAGAAGGCTTCTCTCATTTGGGAGTTGCTAGGTGTGTGAGTACAGCTGGATGTATGATTAGGCCTGGCAGGTTAGTGATCTTAGCAAGCAGCAGGGAGAGGTATGACATTTATTTTTCAAACCCCCGACCCTGAGGATGAAAAATGCATGTCTCAAGCTTAGCCAAGGCGGTTTGGGTAATCACTTATGCCAGTGTCTCCAGTCCCATGTCTCGACCTTACTGGCTGGGTGTCTGACAGGTGATGCATGATGCTTCACTCCTCTTCCCTCTCCCCATCCCACTCCTGTACACACTGCCTTTCCCCAAAGCCCACACTGTCAGTCTGTCCCTCCATTGATAAGCACCTGTCAACTTCAAACCTTGACCTCACCATGTTCAGCTCCTGTCCCCTTCCCTCCCTTTATAGTCCCTTAGGTCCTATTTCACTTTACTTTTGACTTTTAAGGCTCCCTCTAAATCTTCTCCATGTCTGACTTTCCTTTATGTATCCACTCAAAAAGACAGACAGCTTTTTGTCACACACACCGACATGTGCAATATATTACATCTAACACAAAGCCCGGTGTAATATCTAAACGTCTTTCCCATTAAAGGCATGCCTGGTTTAAGGCATGTTTGACTGATGGCATTTGGAAGTACAATACTATGTAAAAGTCTTGAGCCACCCCTTGTTTGTTACATTTTGCTAAAAAAAAATGCAAATTGAAATGTGCAAACATAAATGGAAATACAGTGTTAAAAGCAAAAACAGTGTTAAGTCTAATTGTTGAATGTTGTCATTGTGTTTCTTAAATTTGTAAGGTCTTAGTTCAATCTATAGGATCAAGACATTCCTTTGTCTCTGACCACCTCTCCAGCCACTCTGTGCTGGGGGAGGTTTTCTGCAGATACATTCTATCTGGAAGATCTGATTCTTGTGATGTTGCTTCCTGCTTTTATGATCCTTTTGGTGAGCAGGAAGTCATGCATACAGAGACACATGTATACAGGGACACACACACACACATTCTTGCACATGCATACAGATGTTTACACATACACACATATAGTGCCTTGTCTTAGAACCATTTGGGGGTTTTACGGTGGGAGGTGCTTTTGCTGTGATGTGTATTGTGTGAACTGTTTTCCCAATAAAAGGCAGCAAGCGGAGGCCGGATTTGGGGTCAGTCTGCGGTAGGATTCAGAGTGCTTTCTGAGACACCGGCCGGGGCCTCCCTTGCTAGCAAGTAAAAGAAATTCGTCTTGTTTTTGTCGTTAACAAGAATACGTTTCTAAACTAGCGGGGCTTGTGGAAACACAGACCCAACAAACAGTTTGTGAAATTCAAATGAGCTTGAGAGTGAGTATTTGGTATGACCACCTATTCCTCATCATAGTCAGAAACCTCTCAGGCAAGCTTTCTTTTCATTTTATTGAAGTAGTCTTCAGGAATAGTTCTTGAGATTTCTTGAAGGTCATTCCAAAACCTTTCCTTGGACTTTCATACACAGAAAAAAAAAGGTTACTTTAAACCCACTTTAAAAAAATTGTTACAGTTAAATCTATTAGTTTTAATCAGACAATAATGTAATTTAAAACTTTGACTTAAAGTACATATTTACTTAAGGACTAATTGTTTCTGCTGATTTTTTTCTGTGGTAAGTGATTTTAGGTAGAGTGAAATAAACAGTTTCAAACCAGAAATCCCAATTTTCCATTGCAACAATATAAAATTTCAGTTCAGCTAAATAAACCAGGATAGCTTTTAAAACGTTTTTTCTTTGTTTCTTTTTTTTTTAAATTTAAACGTATTCTTTGCCAAGTTGTCTGTTATGTATGGACCCTGGTTCATCCCTTGAGTCAGGTACCTTTTTTATGGTTAAATGACTCATAGGTCACTGTGAATTGATAAAAAACAAACAAAGACAAATATCCCTTTGAAAATGGTAAGGCACAACGAGTGTATCGAAAATAAGTGAAAAAGCAACAAATGTCCAAAGAAAAGCTTTGAACGACTTTCAGAAAACCCAAGAAAACCCAGAAAAATACAAGAAAGTCTGGCTCCTTGGAAGCAAAATATAAAGAAATGAGTGAGACTCTTGCACAGCACAGTATGTGCAGCAGTATCAGTTCTGTGTGATACAACTGAGAAAATGGCAAAAATGAAACCCTGAATTTAAAATTCTTCAAAAATAATGAAGACAACTGGTGTCCTTACGTAATGACTCGAGCAGATACCTTTTATGGAAAAGGTGTAAAGCAGTGGGACTGATAACGATTCTGTCCAGATGGAACCAAATGAATGAGGTGCAGTCTTTGCTTTTCATGTGGCGAGAGCGGAGGAAGGAGATTTAGCCTGTGTTTATGTCAGTCGGACTGTGCCAGAACACAGCATGCTAGTAAAAGTGTTAACCTAAATCCAGGATGCACCGCAGTCTTGACAGGTCATGGAAAAAGAGAGTGGAGACCAATGAGTTAAATCCACAAAAAGTAGAAACTGATCTAGCGAGGAAGATAACAGAAAAAAAAGAAAGTGTGGGAGCGAGCAAGAGAGCGAGAGCAGGAGCCCAGCTGGTGACTTTGGAATCTTCCTAAATTATAATGTACACCCAATTTACTCTCATTTGCTGTGAAATTATCTAGGAAATTTGTTTAGATCTTTTCCCTGGAGAAATTGAAAGGAAGGAGCTGTTAAAGTGCAAGGTGGTTGGAAGGAGGTGGTCTTAATGTCACACCAAACATCCGTGTTATCAGCTTAATTGTGTACTCTTCTGTGCTAGTTATAAATCACGGTGCACTCACTGTAATCAGTACTGACATTGTACATGCACAAATGGAAACATATGGGTTCTGCAGTTGTATGGGTGTCATCTAAAGCCTTGTTCTCTCTTCATGTAGAATGCAGAGCAGATTGTTCTTAACACAACCCATCTAAGTTTGAAGGGTCATAGTGGAGCCACTGGTGCTGTCAAACTGACAGCAGGACTTAGAAAAGACCTGTTGGTCATTCAAAGGTTGGTTTACATTTAAAATCCAGAGAGGCTTAGCGCAGAGAAGAAACACTGCAGGTGGACATAATGCTGTGTCAGGTGTTTGGGCCTCAGCCAGCTGTTCTCTTTGCCGCCCCCACCTTGCTCCATCTCTTTTGTTCTCTCTCTCGTGTTGTGTGCATCTGTGTGTGTGTGTGTGTACCTGCCTGTATGTGCTCATGCAACCTACAGAATGCACACACATCTGATTACCCCAGAGGCTGCTGCTCCCTATTAACCTTTTTACCCTCCTTACTCAGAGTTCTCTGCTGGCACATAAACTTCTCACAGTAAGATTTTGAGAGATGGGTAATGCCAAAATATAGTCCCCTTTTTGAACTTTGACCTCTGACCACTGACAGGGAACCAATCTGAGGCTTTTTAGCCCACTGCCAGTGCATATGGATGCAGGTTTGTGCTTACACAGCAGATAGCCACTCTACAAGCTAGAATTAATTAGACAATATAGCCAAACCACATGGAAAAGATGTTATCTAATTAGATTTAAAGGATATACAAGATCAAAATTAAACTAATGCCCTACTGAACTTTTCCATTCTGTGGACAGAACTGTCTCTCAGTACTCGCTCAGTACCTGATTATCTGCTGCATCTGAAGTCGGTCGGGATCTGACGCCGAGAAGGTCGTCAGGCTGGTGCCAGCAGGGACACCTTCCTCAAAGCGGATGTGTTTTGGGTTTGTGGGGAAGTAAGGAGGTTCGTTTACATCCTGCACAGATATGGTGACCCCAGCCGTGGACTGGAGTGAGGACTGGATGCCAGTGGCCAGGTGGGCCTGGTTGGACACCACTACCGTCAGCATGAAGGCACGGTTCATCTCAAAGTCTACCGGCTGGAGAAAGGAAAAAAAACAAACAGAGTTACTTACATTTGAAAGGAGAGAATGCTGAACACATTTGAAATAGTTTAAGCTTTTTGAAACTGTTGGCCTTCATGTTGCTTGCTCCGTCTTCTCTTTCTATCTCCTTTGTGTGCAGGTTGCCCTTGTCTCTTCATCTCAGTATTTGTTATTTTTCACTCTTTCTCTCTATGAGGACATGCTCTATTCTGGACCGATTCTGGGTAAGATTACTGCTTTTCAAATACAGCCTCTTAGGTTACAGTGTTACCTACAGCAGGGTAAAGGTAACACTTTAGAATAGTTTTGCATTACCAAAAATAAATACCCCTTTCAGCTTGCTCATGAGTATACATCCACAGGGTGTCTGTAGCCCTGTGTACATTTACCACTAAGTGTATTGATTTTACTTCACTGCACAGCTTCTTGATATTGGCAACATCTCTCCCACCACATGACCAGCAAGAAAGCTATTCATTTTCCTCAGACTAACGACTTTAACCAAAATACAAGATAGCAGGTGAAAGACACCCGTTATGTCTCGAACAAATAATTTTCCAAAGACTTACACGAGACTTAATTTATTCAAACTCTTCATTCTGACTTTGTAATTGTGCTGGTTAACTTGACTTACAACCATATAGTTGTAAGTCAAGTTAGAGGAGATTAGAGAAGGCTAATATGGGCTACATTCTAGGCTATATTCCTGGTATGCAGCTACATGCAAGGAAGTCAGAAAGAGATGTAAACACTGCAAATGTGGTTGGGATTTTATTATTATTATTTTATTTTTTGTATTTATTTATTGTTTGCTTATTTACACTTTTTGCTCTCATTACAAAAGAATGAAAATGGGAATGTGGTGACATTTAGTTGAAAAAGTAATTAAATAACTTAAAAATGAATTCTTTATGCTACTTATTATAACGAAATAGTAAGCTGGGTACTCAAATGTGTAACTGTAAAACTCATTACACCAACGCTGGCTCTTGGTCCTTTAAGAAAAGTACATTTTCTCTTGCTTTTTTCTCAAGGTTTCTTAAATTCTTGCCCTCAAACAAATCAAATGTCCAAGAATGAGGGAGACTGTATTATGTACTGGTGAGGATAAGCAATGAAAAAATATAACAGAGGTGACTAACCTCCCGTGTTCATCGCCTGCACATTAACAAAACACTGCAGGCTATAGAGTTAAAGCTAGAGAAAGTTTAAGTGATATTTTATTATATAGTCTGATTATTACTATTATAGTGTCAACAGCATTATTTCTTTTTCTGAAGAAATAATTTCCAAGCATCATGCTTGGACTATAATCATTATACTGATTAGTGTAAAGATCCCTGTCAACATTTCTCTTTTCGCCTCTACCTGGGGAATATGCATTAAACCTTGCTGATGAAAAGGGACATGATAAATGAACAGATGTCATGTCAAGTAGTCTCCTGAGGAACAAAGACGCACACAGACACGCAGACACAGTGCAGGGCTGATACTGTTCACCGTGTGTTGTCACTCCTTTTGGATTAAAAGTGTGTATATGTGTACACTACAGGGGGTTTTGAGACCTGAGCTTAAACCACAGTGACAGTTTTTTGCTCCCCTAATGAAGAATACACAATCGAGTTCAAATGACAGCAAGCAAGGAGATAAAAACAGAACAAGTATGCTGCTTGTAGTGTCCACTTGTACATTTCTAAACAGGCAGATGATAATTACTGCTCCAAAGCTGATGCTGATGTTAATGACTTTGAGCAGATCTGTATGTTGCATCAACTCACTGTTATCGGCGGACAGTCTGAGAGCACAGAGATAAAAAAACAACAACAAAATGAGCGCTTTCAGGAAGGTTGGTTGACAAGGCCACTGAAGAAGAGGTGTTTGTACCGGTGCTACGGTTTGCCTGTGTATGTACATGCACGCAAGTATAAATAAATGTAAGCACGCTGGTGTGTATTCGTCTGTGACCTCGTGGAGCACTGGGAGCCCATTTACAGGCTAACCACGCTCAGGGCTCTTTGATCTAAAGCCAGTGGTATTCAAAACACAGGGAGGTCTAGAGTATAGCTGTAGGCTACATAAAACACACATACACACCGAGACACACACACTCTGAGGGAAGCCAGAGGGGTGAGAGGTCAATAACATGGCTTGCATCGTTTGCCCATGAGCCATCACATCTTACATCTCCTTGAATCGCTTCGCTCTTTTCTCTTTTTCCCTTTTACCTAATTTGTTCCGCTGGACTTCAGCTTTCCACTCCCTCGTCTTTTCACATCTGCCCTACCCCGGCTCTCTGTGATCTATGCTCTCTGCGGGCTGCATTCCTCAATCCTCGGAAATCTGTCTTCGCCTCACTTCACTTCTCCTTTCCACTTCCCCTGTCATCTTTGGTGTTTATCATAAGCTGTGATTTACATAACTTAACTACTCATTTGAAGCAAGTGGCTTTATTTGTGTGTCTGTGTGGATTTGTATTTTTTTTGTGTGTGTTTACTGTCTTTATTACCGTAACGTAAAACGAGAATACGGCTCACAAAATCCACAGAGAGCAGTGCAAATGTGTGACATGATCGGGTTAAATCCTCACCCCTTGTTTACAGAGGAATTCAACTCTCTTGTGGAAGACTGATGTGTATCTGGGTGTCAGTGTAATTTAATCTGTCTGTAATAGCAGCCACAGATGCCTTGGTTAAAAAAAACGTGTTTTTTAAAAAAAGAGCAGGAACAACAAGCTAGCACCAGTCTTATGGGTTCTTGACTTTACCTATTACAAGCTGTCTGATGTGAATGTTCTGTCTCCTTTTTCACAAAGCAAACCAAAGCACCCTGTTTACTTGTTGAGACTGTCTATTGCTTGCTTCGTCCCAGGGGGTGTCCTGTCTCTTATTTTATGATTTCCTGATAACCTCCCACGGGTCCCTGTGCAAGCTTAGGGCTACCCGACTGCCTGCTGAATTTTGCATCAGGGAGTGAGAGGAATGGATTATAAAAGGCAGTCATCTAGAGATAATGAAGAGAAGCAAAATGCCAGTGCTCATTGCTCAGGGTGCTATGGGAATTATAAGGAAATGTTATTGCTATTTTTTTCAGATTATTATGTGATGTGAGATGCAGTTTGCAGGAGTCAGATACATGGTGAGAAAGCCCCTGGGTGAAATAAAACAGTTATTTCTACAAAACCCATGAAACACAGTAAGCACATTTACAGAAAGCCACACAAAGGATGGCCACAGAGATGCAAATCAACAGGACACACATCTACAGTAAATGCACACACACACAGTTTATGATTGATGTTATATGGAGGCTTTTTTTCTAAATGGGTTAAAATCATGCGGACAACCTCTGACTGAGAGGTCAAACAGTAATGTAGCAGGCTGTTACAAGACAGGGCTTTGTTGTTGCTGTCTTTTACCACAGCAGCTACAACATTATGAGTGTATAAAAAACGTTGCCTTTGTAATTGAGAAATCAATACCTAATTTGCTACAGTGGTCTCACCAGCCATTGTGTTTAAGTCTCTGTGTGAGCGTACGAGCTGTTTCTGAAGGGCACAGCGGTCTCCAATCCCTCATTTGGACATAAAGGGGCATATGAAAGACAAAGACCCCAATCTGTCCCTATTTAACTCTGTAGTCTATTATTACTGCTTGCACCTAAATCTGGAGGGGCTTTGACATTCAACAGAGAAAACCAGTGTGTTTCTTCTACAGGGAAAGGCTCAGAATGTTATGTTAGGCCTGGATCTTACCTTCACCACGGTGACCATGCCATCATTTGAAATCGGGTCGGTGCGGATGGTAAAATGCCCAGATGGGTCTCCGCTGATGATCCTGTAGATGGCATTCCAATTAGGGGAGTGCGGTTGATCAGCATCTATAACCGTCAGGTTAGCCACAACGACATCTACACGGTTCTCGGGGACCTCTCCAGAAAACTGTAGAAAGAAAGAGTGAAATGTTACCTCGTGATACATCACTTTGAAACATCTCACTGCCGCTGTGGTCGTTTAAGATGCATTGAGCCGTTTGAGTGTGGCAATTTCTACAAAAAGCCACTGAGTGCCTATCTTGCTTTTCCATTTGTCTTTATAGAAACATTCCTCCTTTCAGGTTTTCAGGTAGAGTAATTTTAATGAATTCGCTTTTACCACTGCTGGGTAGTAAACAAGCAGTAAACACAGTTTCACACTAGCAAGCACATGCACACAAGGGCGTTGTTCCATTTTCACTGCTTTCTGCATTGCTAGTACACATCATTGATGAGCAATACTATTTCATCCCTTAAAAAGCCACAGAAACAAGGGAGAAAAGAATGGGTGAGGAGAAAAAAACAGGAGTGTGGAGGGTTAAAACAAATGTTTAAGTGTATATGAGTGGTTTTTAGTTGTCCCTGTCCTGTACAAACACATGTGCTTTGCCCTGATAAGCCTTGATGAGGAGTGAGCTGCTGTCTGTTATGCGTCTGCTATGTTAGGGATTCATCAAAGCTGTACAGGCTCAGTAATAAATCCCACAAAGACCCATCAACTAACTATTGCAATGACTCCACTCCAACTCTGTAAAACACAACTTGACTGTAGCCCTACCTACACAAACAACTTGTCAACTCTTAACCAATTACTTGAGGTCAGAGCGTGTTGGCATGACCTCATCTCATCTGCAGGCAACAGGCATGTAGTACCGTACAGTCACCGTGTCACATGGGTAACAGGCATGGAAGAGCGACTGAGTAGCTTATGTGAGGATATCAAAGAGCAAAGCCCCAGACCAAACACTCCATCGGATCATAATACCCTGCCTGGCAAACCTCGCATCACCCAGCAAACAGCCGACAGCAGCGGGCAGATTAGGGGGCTGCGTCGGGAGAGCTGTTCAGAGACTCAATGACATTCTTAAGACAACAGACAAGTCCGGGTGGTCCTGATGCGCTGCCTTCTTTGGATAGGCAGGCTGTCGTTTGTTAGTGTTAGAGTGTGTACGTGTGTGCTCGTGTGGTTTATTACTGTGGTTTGGTTCAGGGACTCCCCAACGCCAGTTCAATAAAATAAAACTTCAGTGGTGGTTCTTATAGGCTCCCTAAGGAGCATCTTATTTCTCAACACACAGTAACAACTAAGGGCAAGTGTTAATCAAATCTGATGGAAGACTTTGAAGGGTACACCGCAGCTCTGATTATCAGCGCCGCAGTCTGAGCTTTTTGTCTCATTATCTCTTTATATAGAGGAGGGGGAGGGGCGTGATACGTCACATCAAGAGTTTGAATAAATTAAGTCTTGTTTTTTTCTCTCGGGGAAAACTATTCTTACTATACTCACGTGGCAAACACAAACTTGAAAGGGTTCTTTGCAAAAAACGTCAAATGTAAAAGACTAAAACTGTCAACATAAATGTGTACAGGACGTCAAGGGCAACGCATATTACAGTCAATAAACTCCAATTACTGCACTTTTGTCATTTTTGATTTTAGATAGCAAGTATGTTAACGAGCATCAAATTCCTGTGATGAGTAATGCAACGCAGTGTGCCTTTCAGCATAACAAAGTAAGTTTAAGAATGCAGTTAATCTGAACATTTTCAAGGAGACAAGAGCCTTTCTATGCTGAATAATAGACAGGTGAGATCTTTGAGTAAACCTTCAGATAATTACTTGGAAGTCATTATTGTTCCTCTCTTAAACCAAAGGTTTCTCCGAATTATCATTTACAAACGCTCTGTTTTCAAGGGTTTAACTTTAATGACAGTGATCTTTGATGGATGTTGGGGTTATTGTCAATAATGGATGGAACAAAGAGCTTTTAAACATTGGGGGAAAAAAGCCTAGAGTTGCTCTCTTTCTTTCACTGTCTTAGTGATTTATTATACTAATGCTGCTGTGGCTTCTATTGGCTCTGCTGTTAGTGGGTCTTTTAACATAGACCTTCTGTATCACCATCTACAGGCAGAGGCTTAAATTTCCTCTAATTAAATAGGCTTGTATTTTTTTGTATATGATTCTGTCCCCAACTGCTGGACTTTCTGATTGTGATTGGCACACAGTGCTGTTGGCACAACACTTGACAAAACACCTCTTGCCAACACCCTGAACTCTCTGTCACTTTTCTGGCAGTGGAGAAACACTAAAAGAGGCAAGGAGAGGTAAAAGCGAAAGCAGAGAAGTGACAGGGGACTTAATCATATAAGCTTTGTTAGGATAGTAGCTAAAGGAGGCCAAGAAAGCACTGCGGTGACTCTTGCAAAGAGACACTCTGATTTCATGGTTTTACGTTTCTACGTATTCCCAAAAAGCAGTGAATGCCACATTTCATCCGTCTGTACCATGGATGGCACATGCATGTATGCAGCCCTGACTATCCACCCAAAGTCTTCCCATCTGTACCCATGCACCACCCTTTGCGGACTTGAAAAAATAGGCCAGCCTCTGATAGGCATGATGAAATATTAATCTCCAACATTAAAGACAAATTCCCCAAACTTTATATTTCTGGGACATGTTGAAAGATCTATGGGGTTTATTGCAAACACTAAATATTTGCATAATGGCCTGCATTCTCGACAAAATGGCTCTTATGTTATACCCCCATGAAAGTGGATGATTTATGAAGGGAGTGGGTAAAAGTGCTCTGCTCATCGTGGCTCCAAAACCTCCACTAAACTTGATCATCAATATCCATGATAGTATTAACTTCCCTCTGTGACGGTGATGGAAATGCACTTAAACACGGTGGAATACAGAGAATATCAATCTATTATTGCCCACTATCATCAATACACCACCATCGGTAGAGAATCTTAATGCAGGAAGGGGGTGCCGAGTCAGTAGAGGCCTCTGATTTACAACGAGCCATGTCTACACTTTATCACTACTGCTGTACAAAATAGCTCCCGCGACTAAATAATTCTTCATTCCTTCTTCTCTCCCCATCATTCTCTCGTCACTTTTTTCCTTTTCATTTTCCATCGTTGACTCTACTTGGTGGTCCACTCATCAGCTCCCCTTACTGTTTTCTTTCTTTCTTCACCCTTTCCTCTGCTTCTTCCTTCCCTCTGCCCTCCGAATGCCCTGCTTTGTGTGACGTAGCAGTTCTCTGACGAGCTCTGTGACTGACATATGCTTACCTCTAACGCTAAGTCATCATCATAAGGGTCTTAATAGCCCCCAGTGCAAATGCTAATGCTAAAATTGCTGCTACCACCTCTAAGAGTTGTGTACAGTATACAGTTTGGCTGATACTGCCTCCGTCGATATTCCAGCAGTTGCAAAGCTAAGCACCTTATCTACCCGACATAACCAGGCTCTCATCCCTGATGATAGGAAGCCACACATCCAGAATAATCCTGACATCTGAAACCACACTGACACGGAGACAGCCTTTTCATTAAACAAAACATGTCGAACGCAGAAAAACGACTTCACTTTAAATTTTCTGAACAAATGTCTCTGCCACGTCCTATGAAACTTATTTCCAACCACAAAAATAATAAGTCAGATTTTCTTTGTTTACAGCTATAAGTATAAAAAATGATTGAGCTGCTGTCTCAAATGTCTCAAACATTTATGCATTTTACACATATATATATATATACACACATACATATATATATATATATATATATATATATATATACACACATACATATATATATATATATATATATATATATATATATATATATATATATATGTGTATATATATATATATATATACACACATATATACATATATATATATATATATATACACATATATATACACATATATATACACATATATATATATATATATATATACACATATATATATATACATACACATATATATATATACACACATATACCTATATATATATACATTAGGGGTGCAACGATATTCGTATCGATATTGAACCGTTCGATACAGTGCTTTCGGTTCGGTACGCATATGTATCGAACAATACAACATTTGTAATTTATTTTATCAACTTTCCTTCTGACGATGCTGTCTGTGTTGAGCGCTCAGTGAATCTGCGTTCGACTACTCCGCCTAGGCTGCACTGACGAGTGCAGATCCACTGAGTGCTCAACACAGACAGCATAGTCAGAAGGAAGAGCGCAGGGCAAGCTAGCAAGACAGAAGTTAAGCTCTCCAGATCTGGCGTTTGGAATTATTTTGGTTTTCATGTGACATATGACCCTGAAGGTAAGCGAGTCATGGACTAAAGTAAAACAGTATGTTGGACGTGCCACGCAATGCTCAATTACATGGGTGGGAACTAGTGTGTTAGCGCAGTTAGCTCGTTAACGTGTTGGCCGTCTAGCCCCATGCACGGAGCGATCGGCGGTAGCTCGTTAACGGAGATTTGCCGTGTTGTGGCGTTAAGGTCATTTCAACGAGATTAACCTGAAATCACTAGTGGGAACACAACGAATATGACTGCACATTTACGCCAACATCATCCTAGTGCAAAGACAAAAACAACAAGCATGCTACTAACTTTAGCCGAGTCATTTAGACAGCTGTTAGCACATGATTCTCCTTATGCTGCTGAGAATATAGCCCAGAAGAAGCGGATAGTATAGCTTTTATTTTGGAAAGAGACATTTCTCTGTAATAAACTCTCTTTTCCAAAGATGAGTGATTCCTCAATCAGATACAGGGCTTGCAATATCGCTAGCCCGACGTCCCGGTGCTAGAGATTTTTTTCAGTCGGGCTACCAAAATCTTTCTCTTCCCTGCCCGTCGGGCTATTGTAGGAAGAAAAATATATGTCAATGCTTTTGCATTCTTTCAGAAATGTAGCTGGGTAATTATGTCATTGGCATCGGTGAGCCACTGTCAATATGTGACATATTGAATTCGCGTTTGAATTTGCGCTTGTTTTTTGCTTTCACTTTGCAATCGCGCGAACTGTGTATAGAGAGCGACAGCACTGATCTGTGAGTGATGAAAATTTGTGCACCAATTCCTCTGACATCGTCTTATTAATCGTTAGCTCACTATGCAAACATGACAAGTGAAATCTCCCGCAGCAAGCTTAAACATGTGAGAGGTTGAGGATATATATTTCATTTCTTCTGAGCCAAATAAGACAGGTCAGGGTGAAGAAGTGACAGCCAAAGAAAAGCTTACCACAAAACGGAGAAGTTATGACAAATCAGACTATAAGGCAAAAAGAAAGTGCAGCTTCATGGTTTCATGGACAAAAGAATTTCTGTGGCTGCAATATGACGAGCTAAATAACCAGGGCTGCACATAAGTGGTCCGCAGGTGCGCATTCGCTGTCAAAATAAAAAACGCGCACAAGGGTTAGGGTTAAATTTAAAAACTGTACTTTTGAGTTAAAATATATATTTATAATTTTAATAAATGACAAATTAAAAAGGCATGAACATTTTTTTTGTATCGAAAAAATATCGAACCGTGACACCAAAGTATCGAACCGAACCGTGAATTTTGTGTATCGTTGCACCCCTAATATATATATATATATATCTGTAAAATGCATAAATATATATATTTATATATATATATATATATATATATATATATATATATATATATATATATATATATATATATATATATAGAATAGAATAGAATAGCCTTTATTGTCATTGTACAGACTACAACGAAATTGGAGTGCCACTCCCTTGGTGCAGGATTCAATAATAAATATAAATGTAAAATATAAAAAGTACAATAAAACAATCGCAAGTACTCAAACAATAGTAAGTACGATATATACAGGATAGCAGCATTAATATAATGACAGTATGAATAACAGCATAATATAATGGCAGTGACGGTATGGTATAGCAAGCAGGTTCAATTGTTTTTGTGCTTATTTACTACGGTGATAGCTCTGGGAAAGAAGCTATCCCTGAATCTGTTTGTCCTGGTTTTATGTGACCTGTACCGTCGGCCTGACGGTAATAGTTCAAACAGTTGATTGCTGTTGATTGCTGGGGTGAGATTAGTCCTTGATGATATGATATAAAATCCATATATGTGCAAGTGAAAGTAGAAATAACCTGAATCACTAATTGATTTAGTGATGATGTTCCAGAATGGCACCACCAGTAATATATTACATATATTGCAGTACTTTGGATTTTTAATTTTTACTTGGCTCTCAGTAATGACCTTCTGTAATGTAATCATCATTCTAAATATCACCATCATGACAACAATCATTAACCATTTGCTGGCTCTAGTTTTCTTGCTCATGAAAGTCAATGATATGGATCTGTTATTCCTCACGAGTGCGCGTGCGCGAGTATGTGTGTTCGCATGTGTTTTTGTTTCAGCTCTCTACAAGCAAATGAGCAATTATCCTTTATAAGTCCCCCTCACTGTCCTTGTGTAAATCTTTCCTTGTAATGACATAACAGTGTAGATTCCTCTTTTTTCAATTTTTCCCCCCTCTATGTCTTCCCCCTTCTTCTTCTGATATATTTCTTTTTTATGATTTTTCTTCTCCAACATATGATTTCCGCGCTCTTCTCTTAACCCAACTCCTCTATTTCTTTGAACTGTTACCCATTGCCCATTACCTCATTTGTAATAACTCACAGTTCTGGAGGTCAGCATGGGAGGGTTGTCATTGATGTCCGTGACAGTGATGATGGCAGTGGCTGTGTTGGAAAGGCCAAAGTTCAGGTTGCCCTCCATGTCCGTGGCCTGCACGATAATGGTATACTGGGACACTTTCTGTAAAAGACAGTAATAGAAAAAAACAACAGTGTGCGGTTATTCATCTGCAAAAAGCTCCCTCTTGCTACAGCAGCAGTCGCAGACTGTGACTCCCATGGGGGAAAAAAGCTGAGCCTGCGTTCTCTTCTATAGTGACTGTCTACAGTCTTATTTGAAACACAAAATCACAAGGGTGAAGTCTTTCATTTGACTGAGTTGAAATCTCTTCACTGGAACGTATCCAGACTTCAGACCATCTGAAGGCACCACTGTGAAGCCTCCCCATTGGTACAGCATGCCATCAAAGTTATCAAAGGCATCGCTTATTCAGCGCCACTGATGGACAGATGTGAAGACAATGATCCAACTGACAGAGATTAATAGACTATCTATGGGGCAATAATATGAGGGAATGATAAATGCCGTTTCATCTCTTGAAATGACATAGTGTCACTTCAGTGGATGCTGAAATATTTCTTGTTTTTCTTCTCAGCCATGTACCTCCTTTCTCACCATTTTCCCCTCCTGTTCTTGGCTTCCCCTGTCTCTTCTTCTGTCCCAGGGTGCAGTTAATGGGCTGCAGGAAGGATGGAGCCCAGAAGCTGACTGTCTGGATAATGTGTCTCGTCATTGAGATTCCCAATTACATTCCCAGTGTCTCTCTCACCTGCTAATTACCGAGTAAATATCCCAATTAGGCCAGGATGCCACATCAGGAGGATTAGACAGCTTCTCTCAGTTCCTCTCATCTTGAGGCTAGATGAGATGCTGAACTCCAACCTCATACACACACTCTCATTAACACCCGTAAATACACACAAGCATCCACAAACACATACACACACCTCTCTTTCTCCATATCTTCTGCTTGCTTGACTGTCCCATCAGCCTGTGTACAGCGTGTACACAACACTCTCACTAATTAGACAAGGGAGTAATTATGTAGCGCTCCTCTGAACCTCTCAGCGCTGCAACAACACCGCAGCATAGCCAGTCTTCTCTGGAGTACTAAGGTCTGTTACTGTCAACAAGCTCTTAAAAGTCCACTGCAGACCAGTGGAAATCTTTAAAAGAGAATCAGTGTGGGAGTTTACAAAGAAGAGGAAGAAGACATTTCAAAAGTAAAGAACAGAAGATAGGATAAGAGGCGGCAGGGGATGCAACTGAGGCACAAGGGAGGGATAATACCAAAAATAAATCGTGCTTTTTTTGTGTGCCTAACACCTCCAACACTCCAGTCCAAGAAGAGAAGGGAGGTGCAGAAACTTTCCAAGTTTCAAAGGGCTAAAGTGCTGACTAAAAGTGGACCAGGTAAACACTGCAGTGTGCATCGTCGAATCTTCCTGTGAAGTTTATGTACAGTACAGAAGGTACTTTTTTCTGGCAAGGTTAAGACTTTTATCTGCCGTCTAGGAAAAATGCTGGGACACTGAAATATGCGTTTATATGCTGGAGAAACTGTTTGCACACAAGTTTATTTATATTCATCCATCATACATATCCATTAATATTTTGCAACATCCAGTTCCTTATCCAGGTGGTGGAGGCAGCAATCTAAGTGCAGATTGGGGTAGGCGGGGTAGTTCTTGGGTCTACCCCAGGGTCTTCTTCTGGCATGACATAAGTGGCATCCAGAAGAGATCACAATCAAAGTGCTGAACCACCACAGCTGATGTCTCACTTCTTAGAACCTCCTACATGACTGAGTTCTGACACCCTTTGGAAGAAGCTAATACAAGACAACACAAAATGTGTATGCCAATTGGTGTCTGCTGGATAAGCAGGTGCTGTAGAACAACTTCAAGGTGGTATTTCACCGGAAAGTTGCAGCATTATTTGGAGTGACACCAAGTACCATCTCTAAATTGAAGGGCAAGTTCCATATAACAGGGGGTGTCAGAGACAGGACACGAATAGGTGTCACAAAACGACATTTTCTCATCCCATCAGCACTCAGGGAGTCAAGAGGATGGAATGTTCTGTCTGCAGTCCTGAGCTCAATCCCATTGAACACTTGTGGGATCAGCTTGAGCGTGCCGTTCGTGCCTGAGTGACCAACACAACCACACTGGCTGACTTGCTGGTTGAGAAACAGGATGCCATCCCACAGCAGTGTGTGACCAAGCTGGTGACCAGCATGACGAGGATGTGCCAGGCTGTCGTGGCTATGACTGGGTACTGACGTCCCTGTGTGGCACCATTTAAGGAGAAATAAACGGGCTTTCCAGCAGTATAAGATTTAAGGCCAAGAGACATTTTTAAAACAAAGAAATAATCAACCAAATACAAATTTCCTGAGTTTATTTAAGACACTAAGACAATTTCATTTTTAAATAATCAAATCAGCGTCACTGAAATACGTGTACATAGCTACACCATATATACGAATGTGCACCCAATTTTATTTTTTGTTTGTTTTATTTTTTTTTTAATGTGGCAAATGATAGCTCTGCTAGATCCAGCAGTTTTCTTGCCTTTCAGGTGATGAAGTGCTTATATGCAAGCTTACACTGACTCAGCGTGCATACAACTTTCTGCTTGAAAGTCGAGCAGAACCAAGCCGGTTAGTAGGGCTGCCATGAGACTTACTCTTCAACTTGCTTGTTTAAAATGTCTTTTCACAAAGAGAAAGATGGGCTCTCTCCCAGTGCCAACTCTGGACTAGTAGTAACTGGTTATGTAACATCTTAGAACCAATAGTTAATTGGTTTTGTGTTAACTGTTGATAACATGTTAACATGTTGATATATGGTTTGGATATTGTTCTAATCCTGATTCAAAAAGTTGGATTAGGCGTTGTTGACAGCGGGAAAAGATCTATGAGCCGATCCACTTAATTCAATATTGCTCTGGCTCTTTGGCTTTAAGACGCCACCTGTCACCAGCAGTGCACTAGCTGCTAGAGAGAGAGCATTGCCTGAAGAAAGCTAACTGCAAAGGGTCAGCAGTTTGGAGGCATTTCATGGCTGTTACGTCAACAGCTTTTGGCATATATATATTTTCACTTTACTGCAGTCTGGGATATTTATCATATTACTGGATAAGTAAAAAGGCTGAAAATGGTGCTTTCTCTAGGTTCTTGCTCTATTTCTGTTGTGCTCTTGATTTGCTGGGAGATTGTTTTATCATACTTACAGTAACATAAATTGAAATTGTTGCCAATTTCATTTCATTTCACTCACATGTGTCTAAGGAGGTGCACATTTGAGTGTATGCTTTCACACAGTGAGCACAAGGAAAGGAGAAACTGTAAAGCTGTAAAAGGCAGCAGTATGCAGTGGCCTTACCCTAGTCTCACACTAGACTGACATGACTACCACAAATAAATTAGGTAAAGAAAATGAGTATAACTTTATTTAGAATTCATTCTTCTACTAATAAATACAAGTTCAATAAATCTATATTCTTGGGTATATTTATGTGTTGCATTTTATTTTACAAAGTCAGAAAAGAAACGCTTAAGTTGAGGCTGACACAAAATACTGATTATCAGTCTCTTCCCCAGAGTCAGGAGTTAATTTAACACCAGCACTGGAATTAAATTTAGTCTTGTTGACTCTACTTACATCCCATTCTTCCAAAAGTAATGCCCTCATTTGTTGTTTGGATAGTGGTTTTCAAATGGGTTTAAATTTTGTCACTTATCAACTATGTATTGATCTGCAGAGACTCTGTTAATCTAAGGACACCAACTTTGCCTGAACAATGCATTTTGGTTCATTCTCACTTTAGGAGTGTTAACTGTTAGTGTGAGGTTAAAAACATTTTCTGGGCTAGTGTGAAAGGTAAACCTGGGGCCGGGATGTAGATGAGTGCTAGAAAATGTACGGATGATGATGTTTAAAGGGAAAAGAGGCAATGTGTAGCCATTCTTTTCCCTTAGTCTCTTTTCTGAAGATTTACGAGCCTCATTTGCACCTGGTATCAACATGCAGTACTGATGTGTTATCTGGTTAATGAAATCTGCTCACGGGTCTTAGACATGGCATCAAAAAGCATTAAAAATGTCTGTATTACTAGCCTTACTGTAATTTGACATCAATGCTAAATGGGGTTAGTAGATTTTTCAGAAAATATGACAGGTCCCAGGTTGGATGGAGGGATGATTCTTTGTTGGCTTGACTTTTTCTTTTGCTGACGTAGGTCTGCCTGTAGTGTTTTTGTCAAGCTTGTGGAAAGTAGCAGGAAGATGAAGAGTTAGATGAGCTTTCATCTTGTTGGGAATATGACCAGCTTGTGCATATTATATTTACACGTGGCTGTTGTCTGATTGTAAAGTAAGCAGATGTGATCTGAAAAGGAAGTGAAAGCGAGAACGCTGATCCCAGTGATACTAACCTGGAAAAACATATGTTATTAAAAAGGTTATGGGCAAGGGAAATAATTATCTCAACACAAGTTCTTTGAAGTACAATCTTGTCTCTGTGTGTGTGTGTGTTTGTGTGCATGCGTGTGTTTAGGGGTGCCAAGAGTGTAATCCTACGTTTAGGGGTGACTGTGTGGATTAGCAGTGTACTGATAAACCAGAGCAAAAAGAAAAGCGGTTCAGCTGAGACATTTTTAGTCTATGCTCCCCTTGTACCTCTCTCCCTCTGGCACCATCATGTCTCATCCTGCTTCTCTGTCTCCATCACACTATCTTCACTAACAAATTCACACACTTACTCCCCCCTCATTGTAATAACCCACCTTACCAGCTCAGTTTTTGTTCTATTGCTCCCTTCAGTTTTCGTTTTTTCACTCTATTGCCTGTGTTTTATCGAGTGTAGATGTGATTATGGGCTTTTGTGTTTGTCTGACAGGTGTCAAGGGCATTCTATCTCAGATATTTCCACTCTATCTTTACCACACAAACACCACGCACACATACACACACGCACACTCACGAGCAGCCCACTGCTGCGTGATGTGTTGTTAATAGGTCTGTCACTGGTGACAGTCTGGGAGGATGATCTGTCTCGGAGATTTCTTTGCAGAGTTGTCACTGGCACATCCATGTTGTGAGAATAAACACATTTGGATCTTGTCACAACTTTTAGAGCTCCACAAACAAGGTGGCCGTAGACAATTTAATATAAAAAAAAGATGACTTATGTGTGTGTGTGCGGGGACAAATGGCACCGTAACATTTGAAAGTCATATCTTAGGATGTCATCAGAGTAAACAATGCTATTAGGAACTGTGCTCCATGAACACAGATACAAATGTCTTCCTTTTGACCAGGTATGGCTCATTCAGACACTGTGCAGCAATGCAAGGGTTCACACACTGTATGACTAAAAATTATTTTATCATCCTTTGTCACACCAATTACCAATTAACAGGAACAGGTGTCTCGAGGAAAATGTATATAGTAAGAAAAGACAATATAATATTCGAGAGAAAACCTCACCAGTCAGGTGATACCCTGTGAGAAGCACTTGGCAACAGTGGGAAGGAAAAACTCCAGTTTAAAGGGAAGAAACCTCCAGCAGAAGGCTCATTAGGCACCTGGCAGTGCTTTTTAAATGGAAAAAGTATTTACCTGCACAATAGAAAATATAACTAGTTAAATGGTCATTTCATTGTTATATTGTTATGAAATGATGATTTTTTAAAAATTGTTCCAGTCTGTGTAACAAATACATTATCCATTATTCTATATAGTAATAAATATGACATCACAGTTGATTAGAGACAATTACAGTCTGATGAGATCTGCACTTATAACATTTGCTAATGATAAATAAAGAGCTATTGTTATTTTGTGTTATTTTTATCGATCAGTACGCATATCTCAGTTACCCGAGTTTTAAATATTGCATTTAGTCAAAGCCGGTGGCATGTTAGGAATATTTATAAGGGTTAGGGTTTTTAACAGCAGTAAAACAAGTGCCCCTCCAAACTTTCCCAAACACTAAATAAATTAAATTCACCACCATCCAGTGTAAGGTTTATGCCACAGCTGCTCTAAATGAATGTTGATGGTAATTGCTGAAATACTTTTTCATGTCTCTGCAATGGTTAATCCACCAGTATGCTTTAATTAAAAGGATAATTGTAATGCCAAAACATAATTACTGTTGTTATCCATAAATTTTCAGATGAACTGTTTTTCAAAAGAGCTGAAAAAAAGTAAAATGCATTATTCGTTTTAAACTAAGATGTCAAATTACAGTTATTTACTCACATTCCTGAACAAGTAAATAACTGTAACTGATTTACACCACCCGCAAACCTATGCAGCTTCAAAACAAGTATTTTAACACCAGTTCTAACTTTATACTAGCCATTCAAAAATATCTATAGATGTACCAAACAGTATTTATCAGCCAAGAAAGTTTTATGAATCAGTTACCACTTTACAATGACAATCACATACTATTAAAAGGTTGTATATTAATCAGTTAGTAAACATTAATTAAAATGTCAGTGTTGTTGACTGAAAAGAGTTACTTCACATTAAAAATTTACTGTTTATTAACACTTGTTACTATAAAGTGGTACGAGTTGATGAATGCGTCAGGAGAGAGAAGACCAACCTCTCGATCAAGACCAGGCGCCACTGTCACGATGTCTCCAGTCTCGCTGTTGATGGTAAACATGTTAGGGATCGGGCTGTGCGGCGTCTGGGACAGGATCCGGTAGCGCACCATTCCATTAGCTGTGGTGTTGTCATCTGCATCAAATGCTGACAGATGCATCACATATGTTCCTGATGAAACACAGAAAATTTGTCAGCATTTATGTCCACCGGCATACTCTTTATAGATCAACTACCAACCATAACAGTGGCTTATTATAGCTATCTTTGTAAATAACTTGACTTGACATGGTGAAGCTTGACCTCCCCTCTGTCTACTACCAATAGTCATTGGTTAAGCTTTTGGTTTAAAGCAGTTGCTTTTTTCAAATGCTCCAGAACGAAAAACTGCCTATGCTTTTACAGAGGTGATCACACTTGCTCATCAGTCAATTAATGGAGTGTATTTGATGAGCAGCACATGGCTACTTCTTACCTTGCTATGAAAGCAGTAACCACAGACTCTGTCACAGGACTGTGAAAACCTTCTTTTTCACGTGACTGTATAATATATTAAAAAAGCACACTCGTGACAGAGACATTGGAACTGTAGGGAAATTATCCTGTAATTACTACTTATGTCCATGTGGGCAGCTTTTCAGCAAAAATTACTATAATTTTACAATTACATTCTATTGTTTTACTAAGCTGTCATAACGGATTAAATTGCTGCATCTATACAGATGTAATTTTCATAGAAACATTATTTAATATAATTTTAATGAATGTATATTAATGGGACAGGTACTTAGAAATCTACGCCAACAGAACAAAAATATGGGTAGCTGTTCTGTAAATAACGACTTGGACAAATACTAGAAAATCAAACACAAAAGTATATATACATGTAAATATTATTAAAATCATATGTTATAAAGATGATGTTTTTTATATTTAAAGGACATGTTAAAAACGAATAATAAAAACTGATTATGACGCATTTGTGTTGCAGAGAATAAGCGTCTACTCTCTCACGAAAGCAACACTTGTTAGGTTCCTTCCCTACTTGTATAACTCTGTGGGATCACTGCCTGTCACCCAATCTCTCCATCTCTTTCTCCCTCTTGTTCTGCCTCTCTTGTAGCCAATTCTAATTGCCAGAGATAGTGATATCATGCCAGTGACAGCCCCTGTCCGAGGATAATTGTAACCGCAGCTCCCATTTCAAACTTCATTACATTTCAAAGCAACATTTGTCAATGACTCGGCCAGAGGGAGTACTCTGAAGGCCTCTCAGCGAGACAACAAAAAAGCTGTTAGGAACAGAGAGAGGGAGAGGAAAAGAGGGAAATAGAGGACAGACTCCATATTTGGTGTGATTCCAAGTGGAGAGACTATCAGTCCTCCACCCATCATTTTTTTTTTTTTAAAGAGATGTGGGGATAGACTGAAGGAGATTTAGAATCACAATGTGTCACACATCGCCGGGGTAATTTCATTAAGCTGCAGACTTAGGGGGTTTAATGTGGACCCTTTGTATGGGGATCCTAAGCTGTGCCTGACAGGATTAGGTCCCCATAATGACTCTTTAATTTGCAAACTAATTCAAGTCTGTAATTGCCCTTCCATTGAAACCACTGGAGCTCTAAATTCTAAAACTCTCTTTTTTATGATTATTGTTCAACTGAATGTCATGCATGCCGTACAGGGACTTGTACGGTGTGTGAGGCGAGGCTCGGGCAACAGGGATGGTATCGTTTAGGAAAGGAAATCAAAAAAGGAAAAGAAAAGATAATAAAAGTGAGGTGTGACAAAAGTAAGAAGGAAAGAAAGCAAAACAGAAAGAAAAAGGTATTGAGCACCTGGACACCTTTTGAGATCACCTCTGGTGCAATAAACTCTGGCTCATCGGGTTCAAACTCACACACGCTTGCACACAGAGAGCTCATCTCTGTGATTCTTCTGCTTTGAGGTTAGACATAAAATGACCCAGTGGTGCTACAGCGTGGTACATTTAATCCTCAATCTCCTCTCCAGCCTGAGCACCCTCTTTGGTTTATGACCACTGCTGCACCAGGCTAAATGAAAAGCCACTCTACGAGACCGATTCTCTGTCCGTCTGCTAAATCAAGGGGAATGGAAAATTCTCTGTTGCATCAAAGATTCACTGGTGTAGTCATACTTTTAACAACACCAATCTCTCCTGATATACTCGCTGTTCTTTTTCTGTTCACCCATAAATTTCTTGACTTTTAAAACAAAAAAAAAAAGTTTCTATTGTAATTGTTTCAATTGTTTTTATCCATCTATAATTTATTACCTGGTTTCGAGCCTTCATCCACAGAGCCATTGTAGACCTGGTTTTTGAACTCGGGTCTGTTGTCATTCATATCGATGACAAAGATGTACAGATCGATAGGGTTCTCAACCTGGTTGCCGTTCATGTCCACAGCATGGGCTCGCAGCTAGGAAGGAAACAGAAAAAACACGTTCAGATTAGAGATAATGATTATAGATAAAAATATGCTACTCATGGTCATACACACATAATATGCCTCAGTCTTCTCACATTGTACACATCTATTTAGAATGCTAATTTTGCCACCTCGACCTCCAGCATCTCGGTGTCGCCGCTGCCCTGTTTCACTGCCTGCTGTTTCAACCCACTTGTAGAACAGGGGCACATTGAATTTTCATGCTCATCTTTAAAATATAGTATATTTTGAGGGAGTAATGAACTCAGACTGCGCTCCTGCATGAATTGTTATTATGGGAGGATAAACAAATGATAAATCATTTAGAATCAGGCTTTGATGAGCGCTTCTTTTACTAATACGGAGAAAAATAATGGGTGAAACATTTGCTTTCCGAAAGAAAAAATAATAAATATATAATAAAATGAACCAGTGTAATATAAGTCAATGTTGTGCCTTCTGCATCCCCTCATTAATGAGCTTCAAGGTAACTATATGGACTTCTTTGAGAGCTAAGGGCATGTGTGTATGTATAAAGCAGTAACATACATTCACATGGTTTCGCCTATATTTTAAGATGTAATATCAGACAGTTTGTGTTTAGCCCAATCAAAAAGAAACTGGGAAAGATATTAATATATTAACTGTATTCAAACGTCTGTTTTTTATATCTTCATCACAACGGTTAGCAGTGTTGCCTGTTCAGTTAGGGAAATGAGCTACAGGTGCAGATGTAAGGTGCAGTACAGTAGGTTAAGTCTGTGGTAGATAGCAGGCTTAGAAAGACACTGTACAAATGCCAGTCTATTGCCCATTTAATGAATAATGATACAAAACAAATTAATGTCCCACATTCTTTAAAAATGTATAAAACTGTTCTGGAGGTTCAAGCCTGGTCTCTGTCTAGAGGATAAACCACACAGTACAACAGCAACACCTTAGAGAGCACTACCTCAGCGATAAGTCGTATCACTAGAGGCACAATAACACATTTATTTTCTGAGAATGTATCTAATCTAAGATTTGCCAATACTTTCTAAATTAAATTTATCTACACCAAGATTTCCTTTCTACTGGAAATGGACCATCATATTTTAAAACCACCGTGTTTACAGATTCAGTTTGATTTACTCGCTAACGTCTGTCTAAGCAGTGCCCTATGACAGCCACCAAAATCAAGATGACAGAAAATAAAAGCTGACAAAAATGTTGTCACAGTAATTGACTCTGCTTCATTTATGATTGCGAGTTCACAGTTTTTAGCGACATGAATGTTTACACAGAAGCTGCTCTGTTTGCTGGGTCATAAACAGTACTGCAAGGATTTGGCACTAAATTAATTAATCAGCCAATATATATAGCTATGATATGAAAAAGAGAGTTTTAACAAGACAGTCCTGTAAAGAGCTAAATGCATCTCGTGATCCAGCAGGATGTAGAACTACCTTTAGTAGCTTGACCTTATTATTTTTTTCTAATCTCTCCCATCATTGTGGCCAACTCTTCTTTATCACATTTCTTCAGTTTATCATTTATTTATACACAGCTCTCTTAAGGTCCAGACACAATATTTATCAGGAAATGTCAGGTTGAGGTCTTGTTTGGACTACTGCAACACTGAGTCTTTTCTTTCAACCATCCTGATATAGATTTGCTGGTGTCTTTAGCTTCAGTGTCCTTCACTGCCATGTTGCTTGACCAATTTTTGACCAATACAACAAAATAAAACTAGTACCGGTACCGAAAAAAAGAAGATTTATTCATAACACACGTGAAAAGACCCAGGAAAACCGAGTTAACAATAAAAACAATAACAAAATAACGCTGAAAACCAATAAAAACCCTGAAAACCATACATTTCACACCTGAGCCTCAACTCTCGCGGCCCGGTAACAAACGACTCACGGACCGGTACCGGGCCGAGGCCCGGGGATTGGGGACCGCTGCTCTAGAGTACTTTGGTAAACAGAGGAGTTCAGGGTTGACTCAATAATGTCAAGGTGCCCAGTCCTGTGACTGCAAAGCAAGCCCTCCACCACAATCCCTGACAGCTGATATGAAGTGTTTGTGCTAATATGCTGCATTTCCTTTTTATCAAACACAGCATCATGTATTATAGCCAAATATCTCCACTTTGTTTCGATCTGTCCACAAGATGGTGTTCCAGAAGTATTACCATTACAAACATGTTCTTTTCAGAGTGACGATATTATCTCCTGGTAAGCCTTTCAAAAGAATTCATGTTTATTCAGTCTGTTTCTACTGGTATGTCATGAAGACACCGAGGCATTGTGTCATGAAGATTTGTAGCCCAGCAATTTATTAAAAGGACCTTGATGCCACCCATTTCCCAACAATAACTAAAAGCGATGTTAGGAGAGTGGTTAAATCAAATCATGAAGGACATGTGTGTGCACAAGAAGCAGATGGTTGTAACAGTGAATGGCGACAAGCTGTTTGCTTGATATGTATTTGGAGAAAGGTATTATGTTATATTCCTAAATATAATAACTCATTTTGTTTCAAACAAAATAAAAATTGCAAGAATTTATTTCGATTAACATTATGATATTGGTTCATACTGCGCCATCACATCTCACACCAAAGAAATCAAACTGGTACGGTACCTCCCTAATATTATTCTGTGATGGACAATCTCAACATCTAAAATATCTTTCTGTCAGGTACAAACAAAGCAAAAAACAACACAAATAAAAACATCAATTAACTGAAAGCAAGTGTTTTTCAGTGGACCTCTAGAGCCAAACTGAAAAACACTTCTGCACTGTTTATACAGGGTGATAAAATCAGTGGTTTTGAATTATAGTATAGAAAACCATAAAAGATTTCCTAAACATACAGAGCCACACTGAATAAAAGTCAAAACAAAAATTCTGGACATTTTTCTTTCAGACAAATTGCCTTTATGCTTATGTTATTTCTCCAAACTCGTTATCTCTTTTACACTTACACACCAAAGTTTTTATCTCAGCAAAGAGCAAAACAACAAACATCTTATTTTTTTGAAAGTTGGCTCCACTGTAAAAGCAAGGAGTCAGTTTCAGAATCATCATATTGGATCCCTGATCAACATTCTGTCTGGTTTTGTTTGAAAGAGTCCTGAAATCTCTTCACATCTCTAACGCCACAAACACGGTCAACCCATCTCAAATTCAACTCAGCTTTGCTCAGATCAATGGAATCACCAACTAGGATTTCTCACAAACTTTGTACATGAAGTTATTACTAAAATCAATACATGCTGTCAAACGTGTCCTTACTTCTTTCACTTTTTGAGCAAAAAACCTCCCAAACAACCAACAGTTTGAAAGAAAATGAAAAAATCGGAAACATCTGCAATATCAGGGAAATGTCGAGTTTAAATAAATGCCTGAATTATTTTTTTTCACTGCTTACAAGAAGGTCAAACAAGCAAACTGAAGTGGTATTTAGAAATGAACTTTTCCCTAAAGCTGTTTTCATTCAGTTCACTTAACTTGGGAATGTTTATATCCCTGAGCATGACTTATTCAGCGATATTCCTGTCAGGTGGAAGTACCGGGGATGTTTACTTTATATCATATGAAGTAAAGAAAAAAAAAAGAAGAAAAATCTGATCTTATCTACATCCTGCTCCTAACAACACCGGCTTGTAAATATTTATTCTGGTCATATGTCAGCGATCAATTTCAGGCGAAGGTCTCTCTACATTATCGTTAGGATATTCATCAGAACCGAAGATAAACTAAACTGGAAAAGACTGAGGGAAAAGTTAAAACATGGAGAGAACAGACAAAGGTTCTCAATTTTAACAAGAGCTATTTTTTTTCAACATGTAGAATGAATCAAGGGAATGGTATCCTTCTCTTATGAGCGTTACCTGATAGGAAAAAGCTACCTGGTCACTGTAGGAGCATGAGTGTCAGATATATGAAACAGCCTTCAGGCTCGTTGTGGCAGGAAATAGAATAAGTAGCATTCTCCATCGACTTCTTCTCCTCAGAGAGGTGAAGATCCTCTTCACTGCTGCTCATTCTGTCCTCTCCACCGTCTGCTTCCACTCTGCACCTCCACCAAAATTGCATCTTCAGGTCTCCCTGAGGTTAATTTGACTTTACTTTTTCCACTGCATTGTCTGATCTGTCCTGCACCCAATATCCGTGTGCTGCCATCGCATATCACATCTCACTGTGCTGTAACGGGCTACGAGCCAGGCCCCTTATCTACACCCACCCTCATCCCTCCATCCCACATGAACCCACACCCTAATTCAATAACAGCAGGAGTCAGAGATTACCGCCATGTTTAAAGAAGGCAAAATGTAATTCTGGGTCCACATTAAAGTTATTATCTTGAAAGACGAGGGGGAGAAAACAGACCGTACCAGACAGCGCTATGCATTTGGCAGGAGGCAGCGTCCTGATAGAGATAACAACAGACCCAGAAGCTTCAAGGTTTTTTTCCTCATAAGAATGCATCTTGTTGCATGGCTGGTTTTGAATTTCAGAGTGCTCATTCTTTTGAAATAAAAAAGAGCTAGACCATAACTTTGTTCTGTCCTTGCATGAAAAATGAAGTAAACAAAACCGAGACCACAAAGTCAAGTACTAACTTTAGGTATGTTGCAGTTTTCTGGTTAACAATGCTCAATAAACAAGACTTTCCTTGGCTTTATTGTTCAGAGGCTGAGAGCGTTTGAGTTTCTTACAATGCTATTTAATTGCATATTTGTTGCTATAACAGCGAGGGTCCTTTAAAGTGAACTGCAACACCTTTCTTAACTTGTTAAACATACATCTTTACTTTGTCTCATCTGGTTTCCAACCACATTTTGTATTCTCCTCCAAGAAACACTTTTCTTCAAAAACAAACAAGCAGTTCACTTAGGCAGCCTTTAGCAAGCGCCTTCCTTTCTTAACAAATTACTTCATTGATTGGAGCTTCTCTGGGGTATAAATCTGCTCACCTACCACTGAAAGGTTAGATTTGCCAGCTTACCATGACTGTAACTCAGGCTAGGTTCCATTAAAAAAAGGCACAGAGATGGTGGCAGGTACAGAGAGAGAGAGAGAAAACCAATGATAGAAACCTAAATTGATGAACCCAGTGCTGTCGCTCACTGCATCACAGTTTCCCTTCACAGCAGCAGAAAGATGCGTGAAAAGATAAGCTTGAGCAGCAATACAACAAGCTGTTTCCAAATGAAATGCATTTTTTCTGATTGTTCCGTATTTTCGATGCCTAGAACAGCATGCACAGCACAAAGGTGACAGGAGAGGCTCAACATGATGAAAGTTTCATTCAAATGAGGTAGTGCAGATGTTGGTGTTTTGTCAAAATGCACAGCGTGCATTGAAAAAAAGATGGTTTTACATGGTGCATCGGGCCAAAAAACATTCTTAAAATGCTGTTATGTACAAGTTAAACAAACATTCTAGCATTAAAGCATCAATCACACACCATGAGACAACCAGAGTATGTGTCCTACTTGAATTTACCGATATCAATAGTCACTAGCTACAGAACTAATGTTAGTCTTAACAGGCTGACATTGATGCTAATAATCACTACAATATTTAATATTCCTCTCATGATTGTAAGCTAAATATAAGACTAATTTATTGCCAAAAGATAATACAGTTAGCATAAAGTATCTAATTCTCTGGAGAGAAGTGAATAAGAGCATTGATTGATAAATATATACCCACTACTCGCTTTATTAGTTACACCTCACTAATCCTTAGAAGGACCCTCTTTAGCTTTCAGTACTGCCTTAATTCTTTATGGTACAGATTCAACAAGATAGAGGAAACATTCCTCTGAGATTTTGGTTCATATTGTCCAGACAGCATCACACAGTTCCTGCAGATTTATCAGCTGCACATCCATCATCTGACTCTCTTGTTCCACCACATCCCGAAGGTGCTCTATTGGACTGAGATCTGGTGACTGTGGTGTAAGGTTGGGCGACTGAACGCATATATCGACTATCGACGTAGGTTGAGCCTTTTGCCGATCGTTATTACAAGAGCGGTTTATTTATTTGCCCATGAGTACGTTTGCTAATTATGTTGGTTGAAGCCTGTCTATTATTATTATTATTAACATCACTCGAAGCAGTCAGCCCTACCTTCTCACTCAGGGATCCACAAGAAGCAGCATTCACACCTTCATTGTGATTGAGAAGCATGCACTTCCATGTAAAGCGACAGGTTCAGTAGGAGCCCTTGATGAACTCTTTAGGGCCCATTATGTCTTTGGTACATCATACAGTTCATCCCTGACCAACTTTTTTACTTTTCTGCAAACAACTACGACATTGGGGAAATGTCATATTGCTTTCTCTAGTGAGCATCATAGAACTGTGAATTGTAAAGGTTTGTTACGTTAATTAAATGACACTGAAATGAGAAACATAATAAATGCTGTTACTTTAACCTGTATATTTGTTGTTATTTCCTAATGTAGGATAGATCACAGTTATTTAGTAATATAGCATCATAAGATGAATATGAAAAAATCACACTACAGAGAAATAAAAAAGAGATATTATTACACATCAGAGTGTTAATATTAAACTAAATTTGGAGTAAAAATAGCTCTATAAAGTGTAATCAAATTACTCTGAATGTGTGAATAACCCTCAGTGTTAAATATTTTTTACACATTTTGTTGTCAATTTTGACACTAAATTGAGTACAATTAACACTGAAAGGTTAACACTGGCCATAGAGTAAATTTAACTCTAATTTTGAGTGGAACCAAATGTTATCTGAAGCAGAGTTAATACCTAATTTAATGGGCAGTAAGTGTTACTTTCTATTCTTAAATGTTCAGGTATTTACATCTTTCTGTGAGTCTGCCATGTGCTACTGTTACCATGCCACGAGAACAGTAATTTGACTGGATGTGACTTTGATGAATTACCAAAGTCTCTTATTCTTCACATTACCCAATAATGTTGCATGTAAAGAAAAAGTGCAAACTGGATATCCATCCATCACAATTTTGTGTGAAGAAGACACTCACGTGATATGAAGAGCGATGTTCTCGATCAAGAGGTTTGGTGACAAACATCTTTCCAAGCACAGGATCGATACTGAATACTTCATTTGGTGGTTGATCTGCTCCCACCCCAGTGATGCTGTACCGGATTGAGATGTCCTGGTCCTGGTCGGAACGAATCTGCATCCCAACAAAGAAAAAGGAATGCTCAGTCAATCCCAGTTACACACTACATTTTATTAATCCCTGCAGCTTCTTTAACCTGATTGATTTTATGGCTTTATTTCTCTCTTGCATCCAGGAAGCTACACTAAAAAAAACATAGTTTCCATTGGCAACCTACTTCTATTTGTACAGTATTGAGTGTGAGGTGTTTATTATTCAAGGATTTATGATATACAGTTCTTTAAAAACCATCTATTGTATATTATTCACTGGAAACATGCAAGGACACACAATCAGAGAAAAAAGAAACTGACACCGAGATGACATTTCATCACCCGTGGGGACATTATATTACCTCACATTAATTTCTCGTGTCTGAGTCTTGGGATGATGGCAGATCTCCAATTCAATCTAAGAAGCAGTCATTGGCTATGTAACAGTCAAAGCAGGAAACATTTAAGCCCTTTGTGTTACTGCATTGACACCACAGAGGAGGCTCACATCAATTTCAACTGGATGTTGGCAGGCATTTCTTCCTATCATTGTATTAAAGATGTAGCTAAGTATAGTGGATTGAATTGTAAGTAAAGTAATAATGTTTCCATGGAGTAAGGAGCAAAGTCACAGTAACATATGCAGAATCTGTGTTAATGTGGTGTGGAGCAGGGAAATTATTTTACTGCTATTGTTAAATAATTGTCATCATTACCATTGCATTAATAATATAATCTGGAGTTTATATTGCATTCAGATGTTTAAACAGTGTGTGTCTTTCAGAGAGACTAAGTTGCAGGCTGACAGGAAGTTGCAGGTTTGCAGAGTGTGCCTTTTGCAGAACTGAAACCGAAAGCAGAGTCTAAGTGTAGGTTATTTTGAGGAGCATTTGAGGACGAGACACAGACAGTTAAGAAGTGACACAAAGAGCATGTGAGGTCAACACATGCACACATATTAGTTAGACTTATTTAGAGGAGAGATCAGTTATGTCTAGACAAGAAAGAGGAACAATTCACTTTGAGACAAGAACGGAAAGTACCAAGCCATGAAAATAGAAGATGATTTTCTGGGTGAAAAGTCATGATGATGTTGATCTGATCTATGTATAAAATGTACCGGTGACGCATGAAGGGGCATCAGTAAACAAACCCTGATGCTATAAAATATCTGTTCATGCTTTGATTAAGTCGAGGACTACTGGCTGTCTGCGTACAGAGTGTCTTCCCACACGTGTGTTCATTAAAATCATTGTTTGACCAAAGAGCTTCTGGACCAAGAGTGGTTTGTACTCTCCCTCCTCAATTTTGAACCTTAACAGTGGTCTTTGACATCAACGCAATAGTTCACATACAGAGGGTTAGTCTTTTTAGCTAAAAACAGCTGCCTGCAATATTTACAGTTATTTTTATATCATGAAAGTAAAATTGTCCACAACATATTAGGTATCATTGAATGATACTTATATTAAAGACAGAACAGAAATCAGCTGATTCTGAGGTGTCAGACTCTGCACTCACTGATATTTTATAGTATGACCCTGCCTGAAGGTTTAACCTCCCCTTAACCACTACATTCTTAAACCTAATGCTCATCAAGCTGTGGAATATAATTTCCTCACATCATGAGTGCTATAACTATAAACACACACATATCAAAGCTTGGCATTTCTACAGTAACCTCTAGGTACTCAAGGATTCCATTAGTGCTGCCACAGGGAGTGCTGTGCATTCTGTTTGGAAGAATTTAGATTCGTCAAAAGAAGAAAAAAAATCTGAATTTCCTATTACGTAGGAAAGTGAAAGTATGTCTCTGTAAGTGATGGGTAATTAGGTAACAGCAAACATAACAATAAACACATTTTGCAGAGGCCAAAATAGGCCAGAGGAAAATAAGGTGCACACTTGATGAAATGCATCTAATAACTGTGGGGCAAGGGAAGTAAAACGTTCTCTAAAAAATAGCCCTGCATTTTGGTTTAGCTTTCCTTGCCAGATAGGCAACTAATAGGTGCATTAAGTGCACTGCTAGGTCTGTGATTTGGACTGAAGAGCTGTGTAATTGGGACTCATTTGGAGGAGTTCTTCAATTCATTGTCCAAATAAAGTCCAAAACTCCAAGCAACCCATTACTGTCCATTAACGACATGGCAACCCGAAAAATCAGCTGGTGTATCAAAATTAATCAATCATACACTTTCTATGGTATGCAGGCAAACACACACACATACACACACACATGCACACATGCGTACGCGCAGGAATGGTCGACCCTTTTTCTTCTAATCATTGACTATTTCAGTGAAGAGCCTGAGTGCACCAGAAGAGGAAGACTGTCCAAAGTTGTCTCCGTCTTTCACCACTCAAGGAACCAATTTAGCTACACTTTTGACACACCAGGAATTCTGCCCTGCTGAGAAAATAGCTGAAGCAACTAACAAGGACAAGGGAAGGACACAAAGTATTAGGCAGATGTCATCCTGACTCTTACGACAGGTAGAATAAAAACCTGTCACCATTATCGAAGCTGTTATTAGAACTTTTTCCGTTCCTTTCCTCTATATTCGCATTAACATTATACTCAGCTTTCTGGTTGAAGAATCCGGTAGAGGTGTGTCTTTCTAATCAAACAAATGTGATCAGTTATAGACAGCTTCCCTCTAATGCGAGAAGCACTGTCATACCAGCCTACTAATGCTATTTGTGCATGCATGTACGTGTGTGTGCTTTCTTTAGGGAATAGGAGGAGGAGAACGTCAGAATGCTTTGCACATATCTCTGTGAATTACTGCTGACAGCTATGATAATTAACGAGCTGCAGGCATTGACTGCTATTACTTCAAAGAAACTCTAGCCGTTAAACACCCACAAACTAACAAATATCCAGCTAGCAGCTTAGTTGAACTCTCAATGTACTGTCATTACCCTCTGGTACAGCCAAAGCAAAAAGACACTGCAGCACGCAGACTGCTATACCTCTCCTGTCGCATTAGAAAATACAAGCAATTATTACACATCTGACTGCCAAAGTGCTTCCTCTCTTAATTCACCCCCTTTTCTCCTCCCCTCTCCTTGTCTCTCTTTTTCTCTGCCTTCCCTTCTCCTTTTTAAGTCACTCTTTCTCATCTCCACTTCTCTTTCCTCTCATCTCTCCCCTCTGCTATACTCTCTCATCACTCTCTCTCTTTGCTTCAGGTCTCTGTGGGGACAGAAGCCATGCATGAAAAATGAAATTACTTCAATCCGTTGGCCTTGGCAGTGGTGTATAAATCCTCACCAGTTAGGAAGTGATAGCTCTCCATAATTCCATTTGGGTTTTCCACGCCCCCCTGATTTCCCACCCGTTTCCAAGTCGTCCTGCTTGGGGTGGAGACAGGGATTCAGCTGCATGTTTCCACAGTCATTCCAACCAATTAGCTTTCCCGCCCACGACGTTCACGTAGACACGTTTAAGACTGTTGAGGGATGACGCCAGAGTCCTTATCCTCATCTGTTTCTACCAAATATTTGTGCATGGTTGCATGGGCATACATTTGAGGATTCAAGCATGAACAGTTGTGTTTTCTCCACTGCTCAAACATTTTGTTTATGCCAGCTAATGATCTCAAGAAAGGTTTAGACTTGAAAATTCTTTTGCTTCCAATTTTTGGACTCCTGGCTTAGTACAGGCCTTTTGAGGGTTACTATGCAGGCTAAGTTGATTGGTCTGCATATAATAAAGGCAATGAGTACGTGTTACCCTATTTGAGAAAAATCCACGCATTCCTAATTAATGAGACCCAAGTAAAAAAAAAATGTGATTTTTCTTACAATACTAGGGCTAGCTGTAACGTCTTCAGGGATACCAAAGATTCTGCCAAGTATGTTATCATTCCCCTATTTCTATCCCAGAATATTGTGATAGGCGAGATGTCATCTAACTTGCAAACAGCTCTCACTATCATTCTGCCATTTTACATCAGAAGAGGAGGGAATGTGTTGAAAAAAGCACGACATGAAGTGAACACAAAGAGCTTCTCATAACTGTATAAATTCTTTCTAGTTTACTTAATGAAAAGAGGAGAAACTCTTTTCTCATCTTGCTACACTTACTATCTTGTACCTCATACAGAAACACTCACGCATAAACATACAAACTCACACATCATTCAATATTAAATATTGAATGGATTTAGTTTTTGGAGTATCAATAATAATCCAAAACTGTTTTTCAGTTCATTCTTTGTCTTTTTTGTTCCTTTCCTCGGTTCTTTCCTCTGTTGTCTTGGCAGTTTGTGTTAAATGCCTATATAAGTTTTTCTGCAAGAGAGAGACTAGTAGAGAAATTCCCAGCAAAGTGATATCGGCGAGAGAAAGAGGCAGCGACGGGGAGTGAACAAGAGAGAGAGTCATGACTGTATCATCCGGCATCAGAAACCAGACACTGTCTAAATGACCTATTTGTCGACGGATCAAAGCAATTCCCTTCATTACTGACAACATGTCTGGTTCTTAAGGAGATCTTATCAGTGAGCTTAGCTCCCTTCTGCCAGGCAAAACTGAATCAAATGAGAAATTATCATGCCACCGAGTCTTCGGGGAAAACGGAGAAGATGAAGAGAAGAGAATGATTAACACAAAAGTGCCATTCTACCACCACAGGGTGCAGATGAATGAATTCTAGCTTAAAAATTAACTATCACATTTAAAAAGTATCCAACTAGTACCATTTATGACTATATGTCACTGCACAAATACATAAGACTATTATTAATAGTGGCGTAGAGTATATCCGGTACCGGGCCATGAGTCGTTTGGTACCGGGCCGCGAGAGTTGAGGCTCAGGTGTGAAATGTATGGTTTTCAGGGTTTTTAGCGGTTTTCAGCGTTATTTTGTTATCGTTTTTATTGTTAACGTGGTTTTCCTGGGTCTTTTCACGTGTGTTATGAATGAATCTTCTTTTTTTCGGTACCGGTACTAGTTTTATTTTGCTGTATTTATCCGCGACACATTAAAAGGCCGGTCCGTGATGTCGGGCATAA